GGCAGGCATTGGTGGCGTCGTGGTAGCCCCCAAGCTGGGCGCAGTCAGGCCGTCGGATCGCGTCATCGACTATTTCGTGATGTCGCCCTTCCTAGCGGCAGGAGCGCAGCTGACAGTTCTGGAGCATATCGCGATCACTCCGCATCGTGCAGTTCAGGTTCGGCTTCAGGTACCACGTCGGCCCCCAGAAGTTCGTATGGTTCAGCAGCCGCGCAAGTTTCCAGTCCAAGCTCCAATTGGCTGCTGCAGGGAGTTTGAGGAACCCAACTGGGAGCGGCTCGCAGACGGCATGCGTCAGCCCGACGTCAATGTTGACACAGCCTGGGCCGCGTTCATTGAAGCTGCGGAAGCCAAATGGTTGAATGTGTTCGATGTGGAGCCGCGGCAGGCCGAGTACGATCGAGGGCGCGGAAGCACACCTCGTCTGAGGACTCTTCGACCTCCGCGACCATGTTCGGTACCTTTTCCGCAGATCAATGCTGAAGCTACCTGGTGGCGAGGGGTGGCACACGCGCTGCTGGACTACGACAACTTGCAGGGCGGCTGGGATGCTGTGGCTCGTAGGCGCCGTCTCACTAGACATTGCCGAGCCAGTTCTTTGCCGCGCCAGTGCCAGCTAGCGATCAATGTTGCTAGACTCGTCCTCCATAGCCTCCCTCTCTCCGCACCCCACCTGCAAATTTTAAAAACGCTTGCCCAGCAGCAAGCTGAGCTCGCTGTTCGAACCAGCCAGCGAGCCAAGCAGCGGGGATGGGAGGATTGGGTTCACAAGCACAGTACTGAGCAGGGCACTTCTGCCCTTTTCAGTTTCTCCAAGGTGCCTACAGGATGGGCGCCTGACGACGCGACGGTCGATCACGTTCCCCTAGGCTCAGCTGAACAAATTGAGCAGCTCAGGGTTGAATGGGAGTCATGGTGGTGCGTCGCCGGGCCCCACCCTGCGCTTCCCTGGCCAGATCTCTCCCTCCTCGAGCCTCCTCCTCGTCCGTCTGTCCCTGAGCTGCTAGCAGTCCTAAAAAGTTACAAGCCCACCACGGGCCAAGGCTATGATTGTGTAAACCCGCGGCATTTTCTGCACCTGGGCCTCGAGGGCCTGGACGCGCTCTGTGAGCTTTTGCATTTGATTGAGCTGAGGCTGGACTGGCCCACCGCGTGGGTCAAAGTTTTCTTCCTGGCCAAACGCCTGGGTGGGTTTCGGCCGATTGCGCTCCTGCCTGTGCTTGCGAGGGTCTTGTGTCGCTTACGGAAGTCCGAGATTCAGGATTGGCAGAAAAGAAATGTTAGAAGTTTTTCTTGGGGGGCCCGCGGCAAGGCCGCAGACAAGTGCGTCTGGGTGCAGGCCGCGTGGGCCGAGTGGGCTCATGGCCAAGGGATGGCTTCTGGGACGGTTTTGGTTGACCTCAAAAAGGCCTTTGAGCTCATTCGGCACCATCAACTCGTGGCCGCCGCAGAGCGCACTGGGTTCCCGATGAGACTACTGTACCTCCTTATCAAGCTGTATCGTCAGCCGCGGATTTTAGATATGGGCATTTCTGCGTCGGAGCCCATTCTTTCAGAGCAGAGTGTCCTGCCAGGCTGCGTGTTCGCAACAATCATGCTACAGCTCGTCTTGCTACAGCCCTTAGATGAGGTGCGCAAAGTTGCTCGTGCGGTTTCACTCTCTACAGTTGTCGATGATATAGGTCTGCAGCGTTTCGGTGAAGAGGAGCGCGTCCATGCAGACCTCACTGCAGCAGGTTGTGGGTTAGCCCGTCAGTTAGAAAAAGTTGAGCTGTTGGTGGCGAAGGATAAGACGCGCTTCATGAGCAGCGTCGCCCCTCTCAGGACGTCTGTAGAGGCCAGCCTTAAATGCCTGGGAGGGCAGCGCTCTCGCTCTGAAAGGAACTTGGGTGTTGACTTTGGGTCTGGGCGGAGGTTGGGTCGCACTACTAAGCGAGAGCGTTTGGCTGATGCTGTCGTCCGCTCTAGGCGTTTAAAGATTTGGCAAAAAGCTAAACGTCGCCGACTCGTCGCTCGTATGGTCAAAGCCACCGTGGAAACCAGCGTTTCCTACGGCACTAGCATCACTGGGACCAATGGGCAAGAGCTCCAGAGGCTTAGGCAGTTGGTAGGCAGTCAAGGTCCCACCAGCTCCGCCCCCCTCACGCTCCGTCTCCTGCTCACCCCTGGCAGTCGGGTGGGCCCTATTTTCAAGGCTTCCGCCGACCCGCTTTGCGCCACGTTGGCAGCGTGGAAGCAGCAGTGGGTCCCCCAGCACATAATAACTCAAGGAATTCGGCAAGCCCAGCAGCGTGCTCGATCCAGCAAAGGCAGTCCGTGGCAATCCGTTGCGGGGCCCTTCACGGCCTACTTGGCCACGCTAGATCGGTTGGGAATTTAGGCTGATGGTTTTAGTTATTGGACCGTTCCCTGGAGCCTCACTATACAGCCGGCCACCCTTTGCGTCCATGGGCTAAGGAAGCTCATTGACCTGGCCTGTGAGGCCTGGCAGTGGAAGCAGATCAGCACCACGCTTGGCTGCCCTGAGCTCAAGTCAGGCATCTTGCTCGAGCCAGTCCTCAGTCTGCTCGGTCGCTCTTCGCCGTTGTCGACTGATGAAAAAGGCCTATCTTCAATCCGTTGTCATCGGTGCCCAGTGGACGCAGCAGCGCATGTTCGAGGCCAAATACGTGCAGTCCCCGCTTTGCCGCATCTGCCATGATTTCCCTGGCACGTTGTATCATCGACATCTGTTGTGTGATGGGTTGGTCTCTGCCAGCTTGCAGCCCGCGGGCCCTCTCTGTCGTGTATTGCCGCAGGAACCCACCGAGCTTGTGCTGCTGCTTGGCAGCCGTGTGCTTCTTCCTTTCGACAGGTTCCCGCAGCGGCCAGAGCCCGCGCCAGAGCAGTTCTACCTTGGTGAGCGAAGCTTGCTCACTGGGGATTTGTTCGTAGATGGATCCATGTATGATCACGATGTGCCCAATGCTGTCGTCGCTGGTTGGGCTGTCATTGCCATGCATCCAGATCCCCCCCCTCCGAGGGCTCTCGATGACTTTCGTGTTTCGGTTGTCTTCGGAGGCGGAGTCGAGGGCCCAATTCAGTGCATTGATCGTGCTGAGTTGGTGGCGGTTTTGAACACTCTCAGAGTTGCCATGCCACCCGTCACCATCCATACTGATAGTGATTTTGTTTTCTCAGGTGTTGTCAAGCGTGGGCGGGAAGCATGCTGTGCCTTGCTCTCTGCCCATGCTGATGTCTGGGAGCTTCTCTGGACAAAATTAGAGGACTGGGGTGGGGTGGGGCCAGATTCCGTCACGTTTGTCAAAGTCAAGGCCCACCCCACCCCAGAGCAGCGCCGTGCCATCGACCCACGCATTCTCGCTGGCAATCGATTTGCCGACGAGTGGGCGAAAAGGATAACGAGCCTGGGGCGCTTGGATTTCGAGCTTCGCGATCGGTGTCGGAAGTTTTCGAGGCTTGTGCGCGCGGTGGGGGAGCAGGTAGGCAGGGCCGCCCCCCTCGCGGCCACCGACACCGAGCGCCTTACGGCGTCCCAGATCAAGGCGGCTCGCGCCGCGCGGCGCCAGGCCAGCGAGCTGGCCGCCGCCGCCACCGCTGCCACCGCCGCCCTCGCCTCACCTCCGCGTGCTCCCCCCCGTCGTGTCGTTCTCGCTGGGGGGCACGCTCTGAGGAGGTGGGTCAGCGTGGAGCGTGGCGATAATTCGGGCGGTGTCGTTTGTGTTAGTTGTGGCGCCATGTGTTCATCGCACGTGGTCAAGTTGGGCCAGGTCTGTGGGCATCCCTCGGCCTGGGGCAGGAGGGTCCTCAAAGGCCTTGACCAGAGGAGATTGTTCTTTCGGGGCCGCTGGACTGCTGTTCAGCTTGGTCCCCTGGTTCCTGAGAGCTCGGAGGTGAGCTGACCTCGAGCTGTGTACAGCGGTAGGGGGCAGGCTCACTGACCCCCCGTTGTTGGCAATCTGTGTCGCAGGAGGAGGAGGAGGAGGAGGAGGAGGAGGAGGAGGAAGAGGAGGAGGCGGGGAGGAGAAGGAGGGAGGAGGAGGAGGAGGAGGAGGAGGAGGAGGAGGTGGAGGAGGAAGAGGAGGAGGAGGAGGAGGAGGAGGATGAGGAGGACGGAGGAGGAAGGGAGGAATGGAGGAATGGAGGAACGGAAATCCTGGGTTGCGCCTGGGGGGCGGGGGGAGGGCCTCGGCCTCGAGGCCGCGAGAAAACGACTGCCCTCGTCGGATCGAGGGCGGCGCGAGGCCACGGAAGCAGAGCGAGAGAGCCTCCGCCAGCGGAAGCCTCACACCAACTCAAGCAAAAGCAGTCCCCCCGACAGATGGTCAATTTCTGGAACCTAGACCTCTTCGCGTTGGGAAAAAATGCGACGGGAGGTTTTTCGCTATGCTCGGCCTCCGGGGGCCCTTCCCGGGCCTCGGGACCGTCAACAAAAAGACTCAGGATGAAAAATTGGTCCTGGGGAAAAGGTCGAAACCTCTGGGGGTTGACGTCATGAAAAAATCAGGACGTCGGGGGTCTGGGAAACCGCCCACATCCGTTCCGAGTAGGCGTCGGAAGGTCGCATCCCGGATGTCAACTTCTGGAAGCCGCCCACATCAGGTCCGAGTAGGCGTCGGAAGATCACGCTGCATCGCCGACGGATCGGCGATGCGCCGGCGACGTCGGCGATGCCTGGGTGACGTCGGCGTGAACAGAATCGAGCCGCATCGCTCCACCGATGCGGCTTCGATTCACCAACACAATCTGCTTCGACCCCACCTCGGCGACCCAGAACTTCTGCATCAGAGCCTCCATCTTGGGCCATATGTGGTGCGCAGTGCTGCCACCGTCCACGCGCGGCGATGTCTGCTTCTTCTTCTTCGCAAGTGATGGCGGAAGAGATGGATAAGACCAAGCCAGGACGAGGATAAAAACGGGTGAGGATAAGTAGAGAATCTCTGAGATCCGGCGGCTCTGGAGGATGTCTCGGGCGCCGCGGCCTTCTCAGCGCGTTCCGGAACGCTCCGAAAGCGTTCCAGAACTTTCTGGAACGGATTTATCCTCGTTCTAGCCCCGTCCGAATGGGGAAGGAGGTGGAGCCTGCTGTTGTTGCAACTTCCGCAATCGGTTAGGCTCGAGCTTCAAGCTGAGCAGGCCACAAAGCTGGACTCACAATGCAACCGATAAGTACACTCCGAGGCGAGAAACTCACTTCCCAGAGATCAGATGTCCTGATTTTTGCAATATGGGGGTCCCCAGAAGTCCCGACCCTTTCCACTGGGCTGGTTTTCCGTCCTGAGTCATGCTTTGACGGTCCTGAGGACCGGCGAGGGACCCCAGAGGCCGAAAACGGCAAACATCCTCTGTCGTATTGTTTTTTACTACGTGGGAGGTCTGGGTCCGACCCTCGCACTATTGTTTGGGCGCGCGGAACTACCACCAGCCTCGCGTGGCGGTGTCGGAAAGGGTTGGCGTACATCCCCTCGACCCCCCCCCGTGGGGCGGAAGGACAGACGGCAGACACCGGCCGCTCTCCTCCGGTATAGGGCAGGAGCTACAATTGATGACAACGCGGCCAGGCTGCTCTGTGAGAACACGGGTGACAAACGAGCATGACGAGAACATCCCCTTTCTTGCTGCTCGTCGTCCTGCTAAGTTTTGCTCACGGCGCTCGACCATCCAGGATGGAGACTGAATGCTAGACGACTTCAGTATGTGCTTGCCTCCTGGGGCCTGCCTCAATGGACCTGCGGGGTTCCCAAGGATCGGGATCTGCGGCGAAACCAAGACTGAAGACCTCGTTCTCGTCGTCGTCCTGCTCATCCCTGCCTTGGTTGTTCCCACCGGCAGAGCACTAGAGGAGAAAGAGATCCAAGATGGACGCCCCAAGCAGGATCAACTGAATAGGGCAGGGTGATACATCTAGGAATATAAAGATGCAGAGAGAGAGAGAGAGAGAACGAAGGAACGAACGAACGAACGAAAGAGAGAGCATGGATATTGAGAGCGAGGAGGGTAACAACACATTCTCAGCGCGAGGACCTCACATATCTTAGTTCGCATAGGAACCCTGCGGTGCAAACAATGATGTATAACGAATGGTGTTCAACTTCTGTTGTGCAACTTGTGCTGCGTATTCCATGGGGCAACGTATGGGGGGCCAACGATGGGATACAATGAACGGGGTGCTACGATTCGCTCTTTCGCGCATTCAGGTGAACGCATGTGCAAGAGGATACACAGTCGTCGGGTTCCGCAGGTGCCTTTCTTTGGTCTCGGCCTCTGAGGAGAAGGCTGCGGACCTTGGCCAGCGCGGTGCGCTCGCAGAGCAGGCAGGTGCAAAGGCGCGAGGCTGGGGACGGGACGAGATCTGGGCTGAGGGGGACGCGACAAGCAGATCGTCGGACGGCTCGCGAACACGCGCGGATGGCATGGGGCACCTCGGTGACGGAGGCAACTTGTGACCGCGGAGCGGGCCGACGGGGGAGGGGCAAAGGCGCGGCTGCCACGCTGCGATCGCCTGCGCTCGCACTTCGATGGAGACGGAGCGAATCCCTGCCTAATGGGCTGTGGGGAACTGGGCTGGGGCCGCCCCATGAGCTGCACAGCGCAGCGCGGCGATTCAATGTTCGTAGTCATGGCGAGAACATGGCCACAACCGTCACAATCCAGGCCAGAGGCGGCGCCGGCTGGATCTACGCCAACCAAATGCAAGTAGCATGACCCGTAGCAGGTGCCGACATCATCTGCATGCTGATGGGGGATTGGGTTGCTCTGGGCTGCGGACCCCCTCAGGAGCGGCAGAGGAGGACGAGCAAGCGATGGGGGTCCTCAGGGACGCTGACCCGGATCAATGCAAACCCGGGCCAGTCGGGCTTTGCAGGATCCTGCAAGATCCTCCAAGAGTCTGCAGCACCCTGCACGCAAGCCTGGGTCAGTGCGCCCAGGGCCCTGCAGCCCTGCAGGATACTGCAAGATCCGGCGCTCTGGCTGACCCCCGTTCGCATTGACCCCCGTCCCTTGAGCTCCTGGGAGTCGGCAGTAAAGGAATGGCACCAGCTGTGAATAGTGCTGCATTTCGGCACCACTTATCTCCTGTCTCACCCTGCTCGCGCGCCGTCCGGCGCAAGGCTGACGTTGGCTCCCTTGAGCTCCGAGGTCCGATGCGGAAGCGCCGCCGGCCGCTCTCTCGCGCGCCGCGTGCGCCTCCCCAGATGCCGAGGGCCGGCGCGCCCCAGAGTGGGGAGGTCCAGAGTGGCGGGCTCCACCACGCTGCTGGGACGTCTGTGGCAAGCTCTGGGCCCGACGAGAGCCCAGGCTTGGCTGCGAGGGTGGACGTCAGAAGTGGCTGTGCACAAGCTCACGTAGATCCCCCCTGCCCCCGGGAGCTGGATTCGTCAAGGAGCCACTGGCCTCGATTCCTCTCAAATGCAGAAGACGCATGGCGGCTCGTCGTTTCAAGACACGGGCTCTGGAACTCCCAAGCCCTCCCAGATGATCCGCTTTTGAAATGATCAGTTGCTCCGGAGCCCGAAACCCGAATCCCAAATACTAAACGTGCGCTTTCAGTGTTTGCCAGCATGGGCTCCATCCAGACAGAGAGTAATTGCACCCTGGTTGTGGAAGCTGTGGTGCATGCTGTGAGCTGCAAGGTATGCGAAGTCATGTGGTACAATCTATGCGTGGTGCAAGCTAGATGGTGTCAACCATGTGGTGAAAACAATGCGGTACAAGCTAGGCTTGTGTAAGCCGTAAAGGACTGAGCGCCGTGGTGCAAGCTTTGTAATGCAAGCGCTGCAGTGCAATCAGCGAGATGCGCCCACGAAGCCACGGCAACCCACGAAGCGAAACCTCTGCAGACTCAGCCGGCGCGAAGAGCAGCCATAGGGCGCCAGCAGTCGCCATCCCGTCGAAACCTCGGCAGAAACCCGACCAGCACATGTGGCGCCGACGAGGCGCCCACGACCTCCCACTGGGCAACGCCTCGCACTTGACCGTGTCTCCCTTCCTCGTCCTCCTCCTCCTCCTCCTCCGCCTCCTCCTCCGCCTCCTCCTCCTCTTCCTCCTCCTCTTTTTCCGCCTCCTCCTCTTCCTCCTCCTCCGCTTCCTCCTCCTCCTCCTCCTCCTCCTCCTCCCCCTCCTCTTCCTCCTCCTCTTCATCCTTCTCCTCCTTCTCCGCCTCTTCCTCCCCCCGCGAGCGCCTCTCGTACTCCCAGACATGCTCGTCTGCGTATCACGTTGTACTCGTGAATCTCTTAGTCCGCGTCTTCAGCATCACTATTTCCTTCCTCTTCCTCCTTCTCCTTCTCCTCTTCGTCCTCCAACTCCCCCTCAACATCCTATTCCGAGTTCTGTTCCTCCTCCCCATCCTTCTCCCCTGATTCGCCCAGCTCTCCTCCCCCCTCGTCCAGATGTTCCATCTTCATCCTTCACCCCTCCTCCTCCTCCTCCTCCTCCTCCTCCTCCTCCTCCTCCTCCTCCTCCTCTACCTCCTCCTCCTCCTCCTCCTCGTCCTCCTCCTCCTCCTCCTCCTCTTCCTCTCCCTCCTCCTCCTTCGCCTGCTCGTCTTCCGGGCTCATCTCCCACGGCCTCCATCCATCATGTGTTTGATACTGTTTCTGGTAACGGGGTGACGGTCGTTACCCCAGGGGGGTGGGGGGTGGAGGGGGGGGGGGCCTCGGGTGACGGTAGTGGTTCGACGGGGCGGGGCGCGTTGGGGCAAGGGGTACGCTGCGCTCGCCACGGTACGCGCGCGAACGCCCGCCTGTTGGGGTGGTCCAGCACCCCCCCGACCTACAATCGTTACAGTTCCCTGGGGGGGGGGGGACAAGTAACGACGATTGCACGACCATCACGCGCCAGAGAATACAACAAACAAATATCCCGCTTCCTAATACGATCGTTGCCGTTACCCGTTGGATGCAACTGAAGACCTCTCTGTCTTACCCCTGGTGCAGCCACCGTGCTACGGTAGCATCGTGCTGGTATGATGCGTTCCACACGGTAGCACTGCCACAGTGCGGAACGCATAATAAGAAACGCAGCAGGGGCTTCTCATGGCCACGGCGGGCCTCGGCGACCATCGGGCTTCACGGCAGACACCCGAGGCACGGCCCGACGACCCGAACCCCTCCAGAGCCCAAAGCGGTCCTTGCTTCAGCGCCCTGACTGTAGCCCAGCATCGTGCCCCAAGCCGCGCGCGGCGCAACGCGCGAGCATCACCTCGCGCTCGTGCCGCCCCGCCCCGCTCCCCCCCCCCCGCAGAGAGACGGCTACACGGCCTGGACCGCCCTGCGCGGATAGCCCCGCGCCCCCCCGCGGGTGACCCCGGCTCGCCCGCGTGGGGCAGGGAGGCGACGCATTCGACCATGGATCCCTCGTGCCCCATCTGCCTCTGGCGGTCTTCACCGGTCTTCGGCGGTCTTCCGGCGGTCGTCGGCGGTTCCCCGCGGTCTTCGGCGGCTTCCCGCGGTCCTCGGCGTCGAACAAGCTGGATGCTTGCGGTTAACAAGAGGCCCGTGACCGAACACCTGAGGGAGAGAAAGACGATGAGCGGGGGAGGGGACTTGCCATCGCTTGGACGTCCATTCCCCGTGCACGTCTCGATTTCGCGCGCGTATTTTTCGCTGGATGATCAAAGATGCTCCTCGATGGTCCTCGCTAAGAGGCAACGCACACGTCCGAGCGATGCCAAATGGGAAGGAGTCGGACATGGACATGGACGCCCGAGGCGGCGCGGGAAAGCGCGAGGACGATGCCCAACAGCGGACGTGGCCCCGCGCCGAAAGCGGCCGCTGTGGGGCAGGCGACGCGTGTCTCCCGTGGGCAACGCCCGCGGCGACAGCGACAGACGATCTTGTTCTAGCAACAGAAACTGCAGTAGGCTCGTGCGGCGTCGGCGCGCGCGCAGACTTTTGCCACCGCGTCGATCGTTCGTCCTTGAATCGATCGCGGCCCCGATCGCTCAAGGTTGAATTCCGTCGGCTCCAGTGACGTCACCGTGTCCCTTGGTGCTTCCGCGTCGCAGAATTCAACCTTGAACGCCCTCGCTGGCGTCGCTGGCGCGCCAACGCCGCATGAATCTACCGTGCGTGAGCACAAACTTTCGAAGGTCCGCGCGGGTATCTTGGATCGCCGCTGGAACCCCCTTCCTCGAACGCGGAGCGCGCCAGGGCGGGCCCAGAGGCATCGTCAAGGGTGCTCCAGCTCAGATCCAAGAAAGCTGCGCGGACCTTCGACAGGCAATGTTTGCGTGATCATTCCTCCTTCGCCCGTCGGAGTGGACGAGAACTGCGGTCGTCCTTCGTGGCCGTTCTTGCCGCCCCATCTCGGCCTTCCTCTCCGAGGTATTCTGCGTCTCTCAATAGTTCTGGATCCCTGGACTCCAAGTACCCCCCGGACTCCAGGTACCCCCTCCCCGAACTACAGGTACCCCCCCACTACAGGTACCCACCCCCGGACTACAGGTACCCCCCCCCCCGGGGCTACAGGTACCCCTCCCCGGACGACAGGCACCCCCACAGTACTACATCCACGCGTGCGTCGACGCGTGAACACGCGTTCCCCCCCAGACTGCAAGTCCCCCCCCCCCCCGACTGCAGATACCCTTCCCCCGGACTACAAGTGCCCCAGCCCGGGCCACGTGGTCCGGGCTGGGGCACTTGTAGTTTCGCCATAGCAGGCGCGCACCAAAGATAGACACTACCAGTATCCATGTTTGGTCTACTAGGGACTGGTAGCCGCCCCCCCCCCCGGACTACAGGTGCCCCTGGCCTGGACAACAGGCGCACCCCTCCCCGGACTACAGGTACCCCCAGAACTATCGAGGGACACGGAGTATAGGGGCTCCGCACGGGGGGGCCGGCTCCCATCACGCGGTCCCCGCGGGGGGCCCGTCAGGGCGGCCGCGCCTGGCAGGAAAGCCGAGGGGTCCCCGCACTCCAGGGCTCCAGGCGTTGGCTGTGGGCCAAAAGGGGATGGGAGTGAGGAGAAGGAGGAGGAGGAGGAGGAGGAGGAGGAGGAGGAGGAGGAGGAGGAGGAGGAGGAGGAGCACGAACACAGGGAGGAACGGGGGAGAGAAGGGGGACGAGAGACAGACCACTCTTCTGGGGGGCGATGCAGAAAGAAGTCTTCTGCCGCTGGGGAAGGTTCTGGAGAGGACGATCACGTAAACTCAAGCGTCGGTCGGAAGTAGGTAAAAGCATAAAGTATGTAGGCGAATGAAGTAATTGGGCTGAGGCCCTCCCAGATAATAACATAACACAGCAAGGCATATCGATTCTTGAAGTAGGAAAACGCTTGGGGTAGATTGGGATCTGGGAATCCACAAATATCTACTTGAAGCGACCAGCGTGTTATGACGACGACGCCGGCGAGTCAGCTGGAAAACCAATGTATCACTCATCGCCCAATGCAATGCTGCTTGACGGCCCTCCCAGGATCTTCTAAGCATGTATCCAGTGCCGCCGTGCGTTAGGATGGCCCGTGCTCGGCGATAGCTGCAGGCTGCTGGCTAATGTGCTGCCCTTGTCTGCTGATGTGCTCACTTTCTCTCTCTCTCTCTTGCGTGTTTGCTGTTGTTGGTGGTGGCGATAGTGTTGTTGGTTGTTGCTGCTGCTGTTGTTGTTGGTGGTGTTGCTGTTGAACATTATTTATTCTAAAGAATAATTATTGTTGGGCCCCCTGGTGCGCGCCCCCCCTGCGCCGCCTAGGCCGCAGCCACATTTTCATAATTTTCGTGAGGAAGCCTCAAAAAAGAGGGTGTGTACAGGATCCGGTTGTTTTGTTGTAATCCGCTTTCCCTTGCAAAAAACAATAGAAAATGACATTTCTTGTTCTAATATAATCAAATTTCAAGAATCCCTTGCAAAAAATAAGGTAAAGTGGACATTCGCGCGCGCAAGACGAAATCCTTCCAAAACCTTAGTGTTCGCAGCGATTTTAACATAAAAACATCAAAAAACCAATGGTTTTTCAACAAAAAATTGTCAAAATCTCATCCCGCGCGCTCTTGCGGATTCGTAGGAAACCCAACACTTTTTAAACATTTCTGTCAAACGGGCTTTTGCGAGCAACTTTTTCGAACTTCTGCGACAACGGTTGCGCACCTGCCAGGGCCATCATCCCTGTCAAATAATACCATGCGGGACACATTCGTTTTTTCTTCGCGCGCGCACGCCGTCGTCGTCGGCCGCGGGGCCCTGAATAGTAGCCACGGTCGTCCGCATGCCACGAAGTGAAGTGTCCGAACGTCATAGGGCGGGAAGCTGGGTGTGGGTGGTGGCGAAGGGTCGTTTGGAAATGTGGTAGAGCTTGAACCGGCCCCCCCACAAAGTGGGGGTATTGGCGGGCCTCCTATGAAAACCCTGGCACTGGTGAGAACGGAGTGTCCCCAGTCTTAAATGATTGTTGTTGTTGTTGTTGTTGCTGTTTTCGTGTGTGTATATATATACACACGTATTTCACTCTTTTCATGCGTATGATATGTATCCCACTCTCACTGTCAAGCTTGAAGTCGTTCCAGGTGGACAACCACCGCGGCATGCCGAAGGGGACAAACCCTGACTGTGGGCCCCCGAGCTCGGCCACTGCCACGCGGCCCACGCCGAAACCCACGCCCGGCTGGGCCGTGCGCTTGCATCTCTTGCACAGCGACACGACGCGCACGGCGTGCTCCTCGGTGCCGTCGCGGGAGTACAGATCCACCAGCCCGTAGAGTGGCCGCGCCACCTGGCAGCGGACCGCAAGGCCAACTCTCAAAGCACGCAATCTCAGTGGAGCTTTCGGAGCCCCCCTCGCCCAGCCCCCACCGCCACTTGAAAAAGCACGCCGATCACCCTCCCGTCTCACTTCTCGAGGGTCGAATGCATAATTGAGCAACCCTCCTCCTCCTCCTCCTCCTCCTCCTCCTCCTCCTCCTCCTCCTCCTCCTCCTCCTCTTCCTCTTACTCACGCTCCTGAGGCCCCAGCGAGGGGCCACAGTTCAGCAAGCTCTGCCCTCTGACGGCCAGGACAGGCCTGGGGGTAAGTAGTCGGGAGGCTCGCCCCGCTGGCCTCATGTTTCGAGCTCGGCGTGGAGGTGACCGGGCCAGCTAGATCTCAGCTAGATCCTCCTCTTTCTCAGCCTCATTGCCCCATTGACTCCTCCTCCTTCTTGGGCAATATGCTTGCCGCAGAATCTGCAGCGTTGAACAGGCTGGCAGTCTCACTCAGATCTGCAGGTGTGCGTCCTCATCTTCCTCCCTCTTCCCTCTTCCTCGCTTCTGCTCCCTCCTCCTCCTCCTCCTCCTCCTCCTCCTCCTCCTCCTCCTCCATCCAACTCTCCCTCCTGTCCTGTTTAACATTCGCCGTGTCTGTGAATGATTGGGTTCCAACGTTTCACGCCCACGCGCCTGACGGCGTGTGCCTTTGCGGTCAGTTCATATGCTCCCTGATGAGGCTGCCACTAATCGTTCTGACAAAACAAAACGCTAGGTCGTGAGGGGGTCCTGGGGGTGGCTGTTGCAAGCGCACGAGCGCTGGACAAGCAACACACTGTTGCTAGAATCGTCTGGATAATACTCGAATTTGGAAGCCACGGGCACTACTAGTACACGCACGTGTAAAGCGAGATGCGATTAAAAACCATTGCTGTCGTGAATATGGTTGCCAATGATGCTCCAAACTGTACCTGCAGCTACCTGCGGCTGGCATGACCTTTAGTCAGAGTCGTCTCCCATGCAGCATGTGCTGATGTTGCGATCGCCCTCACAGGAAGAACCACGTCCAGACTTGCTGCGGAAGTACAATGGCACGCGCCAAACCAACACGGATTGACAATAACACCATGGAAAGGGATCCTTAAGAGCAGCGCTGCATAAAAACAAGCACGGTGGGTCAACATCAATGAGGGCGTGGTTAGTCTGAGACAGTATTGCAAGACACCGAGCGCGGCACGCCACGACACATTAGTCGGATAATACATCCCCAGGCCGACAGGTAGTTCCTTCTGCATGCAAAACCATGGGCCACATTAGATACCACTATGTGTGTGCGTGCAAGAACCTCGTGGATCCCACTAACCTATCTTCCAGATCCCATTCTTCCGCTGGAAGCATATCTAACAATTAATCAGATCGTGGACCCACAGGAAATTAGGATTCACGGAGTCGTGGATCTGCAGATGAACGCTGTGATTCCACGGTGGAGGGGATTCCCTGGCGGTCGGCATGTCGGTCGATCGTCGTCGTCATCGGTCGGCCAGCCACCAAAATGGTCGGTCGGCGTCGTCCGTCGGTCGTCGCCGGTTGGTCTGGCGTCAGGAAACTCTCTCAGCCTGCGCAACTAGAGCCTAGACGTGCCACGCCACGGCACGCAAACACGGCACGGCAACTTCTTCGCATTCTGAACCTCGGCACGGCACGACGCCGCACCGTTTCGCAGCCTAGGACCCCGGCGCGGCACGTCCCGCGGGCACAGCACGGCACTCTCTTCGCAGTCTAATAGGGACGATGAGCGGCACGGAACAGATCTGCAATATAAAACCTATGCGCAGCATGGCACTGCACGCGGGCACGGCACGGCACGGCACGGCTCCTTGTCCGAACTCTAGAACCTTGGCGCAGCACGGCACGGCACGGCACGCGGGCATGGTGCGGAACGACACGCTGGCGGCATTGATGTGCATGCTGCATGCCACTGTCTAGAAAATCTGTTGTGCATGCCGCTGTTGAGAGGAAAACGGAATATGTGACGGCACGTACCATTCAAATGGAAACGGGTACCCAATCAAACAGATAACCGAAACTGAATCGTTACGAATTCAGGCATTGCGGTCGAAGGCTTGCCCTAGGCCAGCAAAACTGGAATGGGCTTCAAATGATGGGAAGCCAGGTTCGCCACATGCACAAAAGAGTGGAGGACAAGTCACAGGCCCACTTGCACGGACGCGGGTGGCAGGAGCTCGTGGCGGTGCCTCGTGCGGCTCCATGACCTCGGGGCAGCGCCCGACCAACTCGCCGTTGACGTAGACGGAAAGATCTCCACCTGCCGGGCGTGACGCTTTCTCCTCTTTTGCAGGGTCGTTGAACAAGGGAAACACAAGTACGTAAACACGCAATGTTAGCCAGCGCGGGCCCCAACCAGAAAGGTACGTATGGCAGTGTGGATGCGTCAACTCTGTGGTGATCTCTACGTGGTGCAAACTATGTGATGCGAGCTGTGCGGTGCAAACTACGTCGTGTCATCTACCTGGTGCAAGCTAGCTGGCGTAACCTACGTGGCGCAAGCTATATGGTGCAAGCGATGTGGTGTAAGCTATGTGGTGCAATACATGTTGAGTAAAACATGTGAACAAGATACGTGGTGCAAGCAAAATGGTGTAAGCTGTGGTCCAAACTGTGTGATGTAAGGTATGTGTATACTGCGTGGTGTAAGCTGCGTGGTGTAACGTATGTGGTGCACGCTACCTGGTGTATCATGTGCGGTGCGATCAACGTGGTGCACGATCTGCAGTGTAAGTTATGCGGTACAAGCTCTGTGGTGCAAACTATGTGATGTTATATACGTGGTACAAGATGTGTCGTTCAAGCTACGTGGTGCACTATACGTGGTGCAAGCCATGTGGTGTAAGCCATATGATGCAAGCTATGTGGTGCACGTGACAATGTGGTGCAATCTGCGTGGTGCAAGCAGTGTGCTGTACGGGGTGCGGTGTTAACTATATAATGCAATAGTCGTGATGCAAGCTGCGTTGTTTGAGCGATGTGTTGCAACCAGCGTGGTGACAGCTATTGCGGCGACGGATGGGAACAGGGCCGCCGAGACTGCAGACAGGCCTTCTATTTGGCAAAATGGGGCGGCGACGGACGGGAACGGGGTGGCTGGGCCCGCTTTCTCTTACGTCGCAGCGCGGCAGAAGCAATCTCGGACTCGGTCTCGGAACTCGGGTCCATCTCCTGTGCCTTGGCGGGACCTTTCCTGGGCCCGCGTGGCGCCATAGGCGTGGCGCGGCACCGGCACCCGCGCCTAAGGAACCTGCCCAGGCCACGGCACGCCCATGCGCAACACACCTTGCCTCCCATCCTCGCACGTCCTGCGGGGGTGAGCTTGGCCAAGTCCGCCATGTTGATCTGGGCGCTGTGCTCGACCACGCGGGAGGGGGAAGACGGGAAGGGAAAGGAAGGACCGACGCAACCGAGTGTGCGCGAACGGCGGAGATCCGGCCGAACCAGGCGAGGCCAGCCCACCCCGAACGCCGGCGCGATCCCACCGTCCAGGTCCAAGCGATCGCCCCCGGCCGCCGCGCTGCTGGCTGACAGACCGGTCGCGAGGGCCTCGGGCCTCCGCGGTTCCCTCCAGGTGCCACGGTCTCAGCGGCGCTCTCGTCGTCGGGGGCAAGAGTCGGTCATGGGGAGGGTCAGGGACGCGGGAGGCGGCTGCACAAGTGACCTGCCGTACGTCGGACTCGCCAGGGGACCCGCACACTGCGCAGGGCCCGGTCCCTAGTAGGGAAGTGGAAGTCTCCAAGTGCAAGCACTGTTTTGGGGAATTTCGGAGGTCCTGGCGAATTTCTTGGGTCGGCGCTTGACCCCCCTCTGCTGACGCGCTCCCCGCGCCAGCGGCGGTGCCAGAGGCGCCGCCAGAGGGCTCCAGCGATGATCTAAGGAATCCGCTCGGACCTTCGAAAGTTTATGTTTATGCATGAGGTTTCTCTTCGAGCTGGTGGGCTGCGTCCCAGGTTCAACCCACGCTGGCTCGATATTGGCGGCCTTCAGCGCAAGAACGCCGAACCGCTGCGCGAGTCTGTCGATCGAGCGCGATCACCTGGCTGACTCAGAGGTGAAGAGACAAGGAACGGAGCGATGGGGCGATCTGGCATACACGAGCGAAACAAGCGCACGCGGGAAGTAATGCTCAACGCCGGCGACGTATGTAGGGGGGGCACGGGCGGGGAACGCAAAGTTTTGGGCCTCTTTTGGGCCACCAGTCTTGCCGAAATCGGCGCTATCCCCCAAGACGCCAGCTCAGGCATTCGGAATATAACACGGTTCTGCCGAAAGTTCCGACAGCACCTGAAGCGCGTGAAGCGTTGCAGGGAGGGAAAACAGAGAGGGAGAGGCTAGGGAGGAGGAAAAGGGAAACGGGATGGAGAGCAAGAGGGAAGGATGACCAGCAGGGAACTTCTCAGAGGGTTGCCTGTTGGGTGGAGTGGTTACACCCTCTGGCCACTCCACTCGACCAGCAAGGCGACACGGTCGTCCTTGCGCAGACCCTCCGGCAAGAATAGATACCTGACCCAACCGTTCCCAGATCGCTGGACACACGCTGTGCTCAAATGCTGCTCACTACCACGACACTTGTGACACAAATGGTATCACTTATGTCTCCAACGGCACCCTACTGGGATACAGAGATACATGAACTTGCCTTGCCTGTGCGCGCGGCTTGTTCCTGGGCGGCAGCACGAGGCAGAAGCTGCCGAGACTACGCCGAAGACGCCCCGAAAACATTGTGAGGCAGTCGCGTCCGTGACCCACCTCGGAGCAGGGGAAGCACTCTCTGCCCTCATCGGCTGCTCCAGGAGATGAGCCGGGCTGCTCATGTTCATGCGATGTGTCATTAACTGTCTCGGCGGGAGCGGCATGGGGTGGTGCCGCGTCGGAGGGCGGCCTCGCTGGACCACAAGAACACACTGTGCGTACCCACATGCACGCACATGTGCACGTTACTCGTGGTCCGGGGGGCGACACGTCTCCGAACGTCTACGGCTTGAGTGTGAAGTTGATATCCTGGACGGCCCCCCGAAGGGCAACTTTTGGCGTGCACTTCCACGAGGACCCGTAAGCCACCTTGTTCAAGAGGTGGAAGGCTCAAACGAGGTCCCACGTTCCACGTGCATGCGATTGTGCATGTGTGTGTTTAGTGTTATTTCGTTGCACCTCTCGCCGTCTCAACGCCCACCGATCCCCCGCGGACAGACACGGTAGGGATGGTAGGTGCGGCCACCGAGCCCATCGCAGGAGCAGAGTCGAAGGCAGTCGCCAACGCGGAGTCCTCTCCTGGCCAACTGGAGCTTCTCACTTGAGGTGCATCCCCGATCTCGGCCGCGTTTTCACTGGCCCCTTTTCGGACTCCGAGCCCTCACCTGTGAAGGGGCCCTGGGACACACAAATAAATACACACAAATAACAGGATTCCCCATATGTTCCCATATTTTCTGGGTTTCTGCCTTCCCCCCCACTTCCCATGTTTTCCCATATTTTCTGGGGGATCGACGATTAATTGTGTCTGTGTGCTTCTTTCCCTCCTGAACCTGGGCCAACAAAAAGGCGGCGGCGTTCGTGCGCTGGTGCCGTGCAGCGCGCGGGCAGAGCAGATACATAAGTCAAGCTCACGAGGGCGAGAGGGAATCTCACAAGGACGAGGGTGAGCGCGCGAGAGCAAGGCAACTAGAAGTCACGATGGCGAGGGCGAGGGTAAGTCTTTCGAGGGTCGCCAGACACCCGGCGACGGTGACTGTGGCCCATTCCCCGAGAGTCTTGGGTAGTGGGTCACAGCCATCTGGCCAGCCTTGGGCCAAGACTGGGTTTTCATCCAAAAGCGTTTTCTGAGGGCCTCGGAGCCTGGAAACGGCCCCCGATGGGCCCTGGAAAGAAACACCAAAGCTGTTTGCACTGTCAGGTTCTGTTGTTCCGCTTTCTGTCCGGTTCCGCCGCCGTTGGTTCTGGTCTCTGGCTCCGTTCTGATTCCAGCGCCGATTTTGTTTCCGTTGCGGTGAGCATGTGCCCTGTGCAGCTTCCCATGCTCAAGGGCCAAATATATTGGTAGATGGTAGAGTGAAGGCCAGTCTGCAAGAAACCTTCCACAAGAAACCCAACCCTGAGACCCCAGGACGTCCATTGATTCTTGGTGTGGGAACGTCACGCTGTCCAAAGGCACAACCGTCGAAACCCAAGAAACCCAGGGCACCCTGGAGGCAAGCGCGGTGTTTCCTGGCATGGGGGTTCGTGCAGAACGAACGAACGAGACCTTCGCAACCCCTCCACTGTACGCACGCGGGCCGAACGACAGAGCCCCACAACGATGCTATCGAAAGCCTCTGGAGGTCTGTGCGTGGCGGCCACGCGCCCGGGTGCACGGCAAGAGACCCCGCATTGCCCACTCCGGCGCCTTCCTGTCGGGATATATGGCCGGCCGATGCCTCCCTCTGGCCGCTCTCGCCAGCGCCGCCGTTCCCATGGACCCCCTCGCGCCGAGAGCAAGACCGCGACGGGAGGTCTCTGGCCGTGTTCGGCCCCCGGGGGCCCCCACCCGGCCCCTCCTCCTCCTCCTCCTCCTCCTCCTCCTCCTCCTCCTCCTCCTCCTCCTCCTCCTCCTCCTCTGGGACCGCCCAAGTCGGGCCTGGCTGAACCTGGCCAGCAAAGGCATGTGTGCACGTGCGCCCTCCGCTGCCCCGCATGCACGACTGCCCGCGTTCCAGCGAAGGCCACCGGAAGCGGACCGCGCACGTGTGCATGTGCTGCTGGCCCCTGAACAACAAAGACACGAAAGAGTGACCCCAGGCAAGAGCGGCCTTACGTGCGCAGCTTTAGGAGGCCATGGGGACGCCAAATCCAAGCGCGCACGCCAGCTCTGGGGGGGAACCCTGTTGGCCCACAACCAAAGGTCCCTCTGGCGAAGGGTCACCCTGGCGCGTGGCCCATCAAATAAACCCCCGCAGCACGTAGAGGAACAGAGCCCAGCATGAACACATATTTCAAACAACTCCGTGCGGATTTCTGGGATCGGTGCTGGACCCCACTCCCTGGCGCGCAGAGCGCGCCAGGGGTGGCGCAGGAGGGCGCCCAACGCCGATTAACACAAATCCGAGCAGACCTCCTGCAAAAGATGTTTTCTCAACGGTTTGGGTCATTGTGTGTTTTTGTTCTGTCAGGGCGAAAATGGTGTCATGATGTGCTTGGCTTAAGCTACGCTCCAAAAGTTCTGGAGCGGCTCCCACTCCTGAAGTCCGCGAGGACAAATGAAACCTATGGAAACTTTGGGCATCCTGGAAGGCATCACAATCATGACGTGTTGCTCCTCTGACCTCCTGCGCGTACCCGATCAGTTCTGGACGCCCGTGATGGCACGGGACCATGGGTACTGTGCCCAACAAGAAGTGTTACTCAGAACCCACTGTTTGGCAGCCCGCCGTCTGGTTCGCGTGGACAACATCCGCGGGGACACAGACAACGAGCCCTGCCCACAATGAACAAGAGCTGTTTTTCGCACCACTTCCTTCCGAGGCCCCGAAACCGTGCGGTGACGGCCGTGCTGTGATGTCCTTCGGATTCCTTCGGCGTCTCGATGACACCGCACGGTCTGTCACCGCACAGTTTCTGGGGTCGCCGAATCTTGGAAATCCTGGACCGTCTCGTTTTGGGAGATCCGACGGGCGGTCTGGTCTAGAGAACCATTAACATCCGCGCGCCGCCGGGCGGGGGGAACTTAGAAAGAGGCCAAATTGCGAAAACAACCTGGCCAACACTGAAGAACAAAGCCCTGAAACCGAAGATTCGCACGAACTCCTCGCGAGAATGCCATAACACTCGAAACAAGAGCATGCGCGCAACCCGCCCTCTCCAGACTTCGGCCCGCAACTCCGACACGCCACATGTGAAATGCATCCGTCAAATTACTACTGCCCGATCCCTGCAAGCGACGCACGCAATCTTCCTGGGAATCGCGGGGCGTTGAGGATCACTCGGCCGATGCGCCCGTGCCTCCCCTAGGGAACAGATTTGCAGGGCCACTTGGCCGTTGGCGCACTGAGTTTCTGGGTGCCAGAAATCTAAATCGCCTGAAATCGCCAGAAATCTCCAGACATCTCCAAAAAACAAGCCACGATCATCGAAAATCGCCAGAAGTCTAAATCTCCATGTTTCCAAAATCTCACCATGAGTCCTGGACCTGCATCCCCTGTCCTCCTTGGACACGCTCGTGAGCCGACCCCCATCCAACCCCAATCGTTGTCAACGCTTGGACATCAAGAAACGTGTCAAGATCATTGCGTCTTGCTCCTCTGAACTCCTGCGCGCAGCCGATGAAAGATCGGGCCTTGGCGGGATTGGCTTAGAGGGTCCTGGTGCAATCACGTGTGCTGGGGTCGCCCCCCGCCCCACCCCACGAACCGGAACTGCCGTCACCCGAGGACACACCAGCCACGGCAGACTTGGCTCAGTGATTCTGGCCAGCTTTTTGGGCTTCAAGGCCCAATCAATCATTAACTGGCTCCCCTCAACCCTGGGTCCTGGTTTTTGAGCCTGTTTTCAGATTCTGTCAAGTTTACTTGCATGGACGGGAAGGGAGGGGGGCCGAACCTGAAGCAAGTTGCGAACGACTTGGCGTGAGGAAGCCACGCAAGTCGAAAGGCACTTGCACTCTCGTATTCGATTGAGGAGGGGCGAGGGGGGGAGGGAGGGAGGGGCAGGGGGGGGGGGGGGGGGCGAACGCCATGCAAGTAAACTTGCATGAACCGAAAGCAATCTTAATACCCGAAGAGAGCCTCCCCCCCCCCATCACGGAGGTCGCCTGTCCTCGTCGCGCGCAGCCGCCGCGGGCGCCGCGCCGCCGCCCTCCGCCCTCGCTGGCGGCGCGCCTCCGCCCTCCTCGGCGGGACCCGCTCGGGCGGCACACGTGCCGTCGACGTCGTCGCCGTCGGCGTGGTCGTCGGCGGTCGTCGTCGTCGTCGTCGTCGTCGTCGTCGTCGTCGTCGTCGTCGTTGTCGTCGTCTTCGCCGTCGCGGTCGTCGTCGCCGTCAGTCGCCGCCGTCACCGTCGGCGGTCGCAGTCGTCGTCGTCGCCGCCGCCGGCGCCGTCGTCGGGTTCGCCCTCGTGCTCTTGGTCGTCGTGTTCGCCCTCGTGCTCTTGGTCGTCGTAGCCGGTCGCAGTCGCCGTCGCTGGTCGCAGATGTCATCACAAAGTGTGGTCGTCGCAGTCGTCGGGGCCGTGGTCGTGGTCGCCGCTCGCGGTCCTCGCTCTCGCCGTCGTCGGAGTCGCGGTCGTGATGGCTGCTCCGCCGCGACGTTCTCTGCGGTGCTGTCTGCTGCCGCCTGGGCGCCCTGCGTGACTCCGCTGCCCTGAGCGTGCAACCTGCTCGGCCGCTCTCGCCTCCGCCTCTCCCCCTGGCACGCCGGACGCTTTGCCACCGGCTGCCCCGATCAGCTGGTGCGGGCTGCCCGTCGGCCAGCCGCTGGAGTACGCGCGGAGCTGGGGCGAGACTGACCCTGGCGCGGACTGCCCCTGCCTCGCCGCCGACGACAACGTGCGCAGCCTGCTCGCGCCGTCGAGCGCAGCACACCCACTAAGAGCGCTGCCGTGCTGCCAAAGGAGGGCCCCTGGGCCCGGATGCAGCCCCGGGCTCTCCTGGGAGGCCCGGGCGGCCTCTCCACTGGAGCGGCTCCTCGCGAGACCCGGCGCGCACCCGGGCACTCCGGAGCGGCGCGGAAGGGCTGGAGGGCACCTTTTTAGCATGGGGGAGAAGGGTCCTGAGGGCAGCGGGGCCTTCCCCCGGGATCGGCTCCTCATCCTGAACTGTTTTCTAACAATCCTGGGTCCCGTGGAGGGCCCCTGGAAGCAGAAAGCAGCGAAAAGCCTCAGGACCCCGCCTTTCCCTCGGGACCTGCTTCCCCCACGGCGAGCGCCTTGGGTTGGGATCACGCTGGGCAATCTCCTGGCAGTCGCCACCGCACGGGGACGGCGCTGTGCACCACCCGCGGCGCCTCAGCCGCCACGCGCCCCGAACGACGGGGCCAGGTCAGAGGGGGCGGGCGCCCAGGGCACGCTGGCCGCCCAGCAGGCAACACGAGAGAGCGAGCAACGGCGAGAGTCAGGGCGACGACACCTCTCTCTATATGTGCACATGCACGGCGGCCTGGCAAGGCCGATCCTGAACCCCGCAGCGGTGCATACGCCGCGCCCCCACGGCTCGGCCAGGGGGGCGTCCGCACAGCGGACAGGGCTCGGGCCGGGCCCGGCCAGGGAGCAGCGGACATGCACAGCCCTCCTACAGCCCTCGCCGCCCGAGAACAGCGCAACGGCCCCGTACGGTCCTCGCGCTGCCACGGAGGCCGCTGCACATAGGGCCCGAGGGAACTCGTCTGGCCACGGCGAGCCTCGGCCGCGACGAGGCTCCGCGCGATGCAGCACTCAGGGACGGCCCGGGGCCAGAGCCCCTTCCGAGCCGAAGGTGGTCCTGATTTCGGCATCTTGGCTGCAGGTGCCCTCTTTTTCTTCTTCCTCTTCCTCCTCCTCCTCCTCCTCCTCCTCCTCCTCCTGCTCCTCCTCCTACTTCTCCTCCTCCTCCTCCTCCTCCTCCTCCTCCTCTCCTCCCTCCTGCTCCTCCTGCTCTCCCTCCTGCTCCTCCTGCTCCTCCTGCTCCTCCTGCTCCTCCTGCTCCTCCTCCTCCTCCTCCTCCTCCTCCTCCTCCTCATCACCATTCATCATCATCATCATCATCATCATCATCATCATCATCATCATCATCATCATCATCATCATCATCTCATCATCATCATCATCATCATCATCATCATCATCATCATCATCATCATCATCATCATCATCATCATCATCATCATCATCATCATCCTACGTCCTCCTCCTCTTTCTCCTCCCCCTCTTCCTCCTCCGCCCCCTCATCATTCTCCTCCTCCTCTTCCTCCTCCTCCTCCTCCTCCTCCTGCTCCTCCTGCTCCTCCTCGCCCGCCCGAGGTGTGCTGGACTCCCGGTGCCCCAGCACGCCTCGCGCGCTGCCCCTCAGGGTCCCCGGGCAAGACGCCCCCCGAGACGGCCCCCAGGAGAAGGCCACGTGTTGGGCCATGCGACTATCGAGGCCATAATTGCACCTGCCAGGACTCCAGCTCTGCGGGTGCACTGCGACACTGAGGGCATGTATGGCGAAGGGTGCGGCGAGAAGTAGCTGGGTGGGAGTCCAGCAAGTGTGGTGAGAGCCGCTGGCACGAACATTACAATTTCTTGTGCGGGAAGTCGAGCACATCGGCATGGAGACGTGCAACGCACGGAAAGAGTGTGGCTCGATATGGTTCTAGAATGTGCAATGCGAGCGCACCGCTCTTTCCTGCAAACGATTGCTCGCAGGTTTTCCGTCTTTCAATTCCAAGACAATTTCGATTCCGACACGGCTACCACGCCCAGTGGAGAGGGGACATTGATCTGGATCCACACTTCCTGGCAAGGGTGCTTCAAGTAGCTCCTGCTCCGTCTTCCATTCTCTCGTCTCCTCCTCTCACCATTGCCCTACTCTGGCCTTCTTCACAACTAGAGTTTCCCTCGTGCACGTGAGCTTTGCTACGTGCGTGTGTTTGGAGGCATTCCCGACGCATTAATTCTGCACTCCCTCTGCGTCCTCCTCCTCCCCCTCCTCCTGTAATCTCCTCTGGCTCACCCCCTTCCCCCTCCTGCTCCTCCTCCTCCTCCTGCTCCTCCTCCTCCTTCTCCTCCTCCTCCTCTTCCTCCTGCTATTCTATCTTCCTCTGCCTCGTCCTGATCATCGCCCCAGCCTCCGCCCACTCATCCTCTGCCTTGTCCTCCTCCCCGTCCGCCGCCTCCTTCTCTGCCTCGTCCCCATCCCATCCTCCTCTCCCTCCTCCCCTGCCTCGCCCCTTCCACATTTTCCCCCGCTTCAAACAGCCTAGGCAGGAGAAAGCCTGGAAGGCTTGGAAATGATGCCAGGATTTGTACCCCCTGCCCTTCCCCCCACTCCTCCTCCTCCTCCTCCTCCTCTCCTCCTCCTCCTCCTCCTCCTCTCTCCTCCTCCTCCTGGAGCGTTCTCCAACTCCTCTCCTCCTCCTCCTCCTCCGCTCCTCCTCCTCCTCCTCCTCCTCCTCCTCCTCCTCCTCCTCCTCCTCCTCCTCCTCCTCCTCCTCCTCCTCCTCCCGAGTAGCTGAATAGCTAAGGACGCAAGAGTTTGTCACCGACGCCGCCCTCCCTCCTCCCCAGGGCCAGTCGGCTCTGGGGGGCTGACCAAACTAAACGCCAGGCGACTCCTGGAGCGATCCTCCTCCTCCTCCTCCTCCTCCTCCTCCTCCTCGCCCTGGCTGGGCGGGCGGGCGGGCGGGCAGAAGGTCCCTCTCGACCGGCCGGATCGCCAGGGCGGGGAGGACCGCGCCGCGCCGATGGTAGGCGCAGCCGCCGCCCACGAACCAGGCCTCCTGCGCCGAGCTGGAGGCCGAGGAGGGGACGACGAGGAGCTGCAGTGGTAGTTCGGTGGCTCCGCGCCTGCTACTCTCCCTCCTCCTTCCTCCGCCCCGTTGCGCTGCGAGCGTGGCTGCCTCTCTGGAGAGCACAGAAACAACAGAAGCCCTCACGGTAAGCACCGCGCCAAGCGGAGCCCAGCGAAGGACTGGAACATGGCAGGGCGGTTCCGCTGACGCCCAGGGCACGCTTCGTGAGCTGCCCCTGCCCCGTTCCCTCTCTTTCCTCCGTTCCGTTGTAGTGTGACCAAGCTCCCCCCCTCGGGCGTTACTAAATGAGGGGGGGGCGATCACGGGGGGGAGCGGAAAGGAGTGGAGGAACGTGCACCTTTCGTTCCCCTTTTGGGCCCCAGAGGACCCCTTGCCCTTTTGGGCCCCAAAGGTGCGCAACAAATGCACCCTTCTTGACTCCCCCAACTATCGCCTCCCCACTACGCAACGGCCGACTTCCAACCTCTTTTTCCCCCCTCTAGGCAAGCGCGTTCCACGACTTGCAAAGTAAGTGCTCGTAAATGGACTGGATACGCCGCGGGGAATTTACCATCCATTACTTTAGACGACCCTCAGACGGGGTCCGAGTAGGTTGGGTCGGAGGATCGCGCTGCCTCGCCGATGCATCGCCTACGCATCGGCGATGCACTGGCGACGCCGGCGAGGAATCGGCGACGTCGGCGTGAAACAAAATCGTGCCCCACATCCAGCCGCATCGCCGACGCATCGGCGAGGCGGCCTGATCCTCCGACCTCGTCTACTGGGACCCCATCTTGGAGGCCTGCGCATACACCGAGGCAAACCAATGTTTTTCGGACGCTCCCCCCCTCTTGCAGCTGGGCAATCGGTTTGCCGAGTGCACTGGGCAACTCGAGCCTCCGCGCGGATTGCCTCTGCCAGGCCGCGACGAACAAAATGATGGGCCGACGGGAGAGAAGGGAGGATGGGGGAGACGGGGGACGGGGTAGAAGGGAGGAGAAGGGATGCTGGGGAGGATCCTCCTCCTCCACCCCCTTCTCCTCCTCCCCCTCCTCCTCCCCCTCCTCCTCCTCCTCCTCCTCCTCCTCCTCCTCCTCCTCCTCCTCCTCCTCCTCCACCCTCTCCTACCCATGGTGGTGGTGGTGGTGGGAAATCGACGGTGGTGGGAAATCGGCCCATCACAGAACAAGAACATCTTTCCGGACGCTTGCGAGCAGGCGCCCCGCGAGCAGTGCAGCGGCGCGTGCCCGGCCCTCGGGGCCTGCCTCGCGCGCGCGCCCGCGGGCGCGCGGCGCGCGGCGCCGAGGGTCGGGGCCGCTGGGGGGCGCCGGCGCAGCGCCGGGGAGAGCAGCACGGGGCAAGAGCACACGCAGTCGGACTTGATTGGAGAGGGCGCGCGAGAGGACACGAGACCCTTCCCGAGGGGCACACTGCCCACAGGAATGTAGGGAGGCATGGGTCGCGAGACACAGGCCACGAGGGTACCCTTGAGCTGGCAGGCTCGACCCACTAATCCAGGCCGACTGCACATACAGCAGGCATCGATGCACCACCACCACCACCGCGCCAGGCCAGGGCCATCCTGGCCCTGGCATGGTGTATCCGCCATTCTGCCCGAGGCCAGGGGGGTCTGTACACCATCCTGGTGCCCAGGATGGCCCTGGCCTGGTACGGTGGCGGTGTATGGATGCCTTCGTCGGAACAGACTGGGCGGCGCGCCCGGGGGGGGAAGTGAGAAGGGGCGGGCCTTCTCAGAAGGCTCGGAGGTCAACCAGCCTTCTGAGAGGTTGTTGTAAACCTTCCCCGAGGAAACAGAGCACTCCTGAGAAGGCGCGAGGGCTTCTGAGAAGTCCTGCCGCCTTCTGAGAAGGCCTTCTCCTTCTCATTTCCCCCCGTCGCTCGCCGCCGACATGCAGCCGAACAGGTGATCACAGAAATTCTCGTTTAAGCATTGGCAAAGCCTGGTACTCCGGAAATGTATCAAAACTAGCCTGGGCCAATTTCCGATGCTCACGCTGGAAGCGCGAACGTGCTCAAGAAACTGGGCCAGCTTTCCGGCAAGCGGGTTGAGAAGGTTGGAGGTTTGTTACCCGGATGCTCGACCGTAAACGTGTTAGTTGGCGTGGGCCCCGCGCAGTGGGTTGGTGCACCCTCGAGGGGTGAGCTGTGTGTACTGCAAACTATGCATGTGTCGTCGCTCGACGGTCAGGTCTCCTCCTCCTCCCACCTATGCGGCCGCTCTCTGCTTTTTCACTCGTCCCGTGCGCCCCGCGCCCAGCGCGCCGCGTCGATCTCGACCCACGCGCTTGCGTCAGCGGGCGCTACTGATGAAAAAGTGTTGCGGGCTGTACGATGCGTCCTGTGTATGGTCCGAAACATGTGTGCATATATTTGTATATGTGCTGGTAGCTCTTGTAACTATAGACGGTATTCGCTCTTTCTACTGCTTCTGCTTCTGCCCACCTTCGTCCTTCTCCTCCTGCCTCGCTGCCCATCTTGTGCTTGGCAGTCGGGCGCCCAATCTTCTGATTCACAGTCGGGCGCTCATTTTCCTGCTTCACAGTCGTGAAACGCCCTTTGCTTCCGATTCTCGCTTTGCAATTCACGAAGGGTTGCCAATCGCGCGCCATTGTGCCAAAGCGTCCTTCCAGATGCTCGGCTCTGTGGTGGTGGTGGTGGTGGGGATGGTGCTAATTAACTGTGGTGAACGCTACGCGGTGCAAGCTGCGTGGTGCGATCTATGTGATGTCACAGATTCGTGTGCAAACCAGGCGGTGCGGGCTGTGTGGTACAACCGATGTGGCCCACAGCCGCTCGAGGCAAGCGACACGACGCAGCCTATGCAGTGCGCACTGTGAGGCGCAGCCTGTGCGGCGCACGCCGTGTGGCGCAAGCTGTGTGGTGCAGGCTGTGCAGTGCAAGCTCGCTGTGGTCCAAGCTGTGCAGTGCAAGCCCTGCGGGCGATGACGAGGCGCCTACGGGCGGCCGCGGCCACTGGCTGACACCGGGCGACGAGCCCTGGCAGACCCACCCCGCGCACGGGGCTCCCACGAGGCGTCACCGGCTGGGCGCCCGGCGACACCCGGCAGGCCAATCCAGCGCACTTCGGCGGCGGACGAGGGGGGGGGGAAGTGAGGAGGAGAAGGCCTCCTCAGAAGGCGGCGGGGCTCTTCATCAACCCTCGCGCCGTCTGAGAAGTCTTCCGCGCCGTCGGGGGAGGCTTAGGACACCTCTCAGAAGGCCAGGGGACTCACGGGCCTTCTGAGAAGGCCTGTTCCTCCTCACTCTCTCGGGATCCACCAAAATGGGGGGTGACCCTGAAGGGGGCATGAGTTCGATCCGCTGGTGCACAGAACTGCCGCAAACAGATGCCCCCCGCATGCCCCACCTATCGGCAACTATAGAGAGCTGCCGGCGGCCGGGGGGGGGCATATGTTTTGGGCGGTTCGGTGCACAAACCGATCGAACTCACACCCCCCCTGGGGCACATCCTCCCTTTGCGGGATCCCGACTCTCCCCCCCCCCCGCTCGCCGCCGAGCATTGGGCGCCCACGGGCGATCACCAATCCAGAACCGGGCGAAACCTCCTACCATGTCCGTCCAACTACTTATATCAACACAAGTGACAACACTCGTCTCAGAAACAATTTTTCGGAGGTCTGAACGAATTTAATGGATTGGCGCCGGAAGCCCCTGTCGCGCTGCGCGCGCCATGTATGGGGGTCCAGCGCAAACCAAGATCCGCGCGGCCCTCCGAACATTTACATTTATGCAAATCTCTTGCTCGGGGAAAGGATGAAGGAATCATTAAGGATGGAGGGAAGGATAGCGGTGGGAAAGGATCATCGACCAGGGTTGGAGGCGAGGCGAGGAGTGCAGACCGCGAGGCCGCGGATGTGCTACCAGCCCACGAGGGGCAACCAAAAAACAGCGCACACCTCTGGAGCTGAGCGGGACGTCTGAACGGACAGGTGGGGGGGGCCGCCAAGGGGGAGGGACGGGGGGACGGGAAGAAGAAGAACTCAAGGGCGAGTCCGGGGGGGGGGGCGAAGGGGGACGGAAGGCGGGGGTGTGGGGCGGGGGGGGGGGGCGGGAAGGAAGGGCAAGGAGGGGGAGGGAGGAGCGGGGCAGGGGGGGGGTCGGGCAAGGGGGTTTCGAGGGTGGGGGGAGTCTCTGGCCAAGGGGTGCCGCTGAGAGGCTGGCGCAGCGGCGCAGCGAATGTGAACCGGCACGAGCACGGGGAGGAGGAGAGGGGAACAGGGGGATATTGGATATGATATGCATAGGTCCTGTCGCCAGAAGTCCCCATTAAGAGGGCGAGCGACAACGCTCATAACAAGCACCCCACAGAAGCGAAACCCTTTTGGCAGACGCGCCTTGATTGGTAGCGACATCGCAGGGTAGGACCGCTCAGCGCACGCGCTGGACTGCACAGCATACGCAGGTCAAGGCAGGTCGGGGCGTTCCTGCCCCGCCCTCGCGCGCCCCCATGCACTCCTCCATATCCCCGCGAGGGGAGGAAAACGGCCGCCCCCAGCGTCCGCGCCATGTGACGCGTCGGCGCTGCTTCTATAACTGTGCCCCCAGCAGTGTGGCTCGTACTGGGCCGCCTGGGACTCTCAAGGAGGGAGGAGCAGGGAGGAGGAGACGAGAGGGAGGAGGAGGAGGAGGAGGAGGAGGAGGAGGAGGAGGAGGAGGAGGAGGAGGAGGAGGAGGAGGAGCATGTGGGAGCGTGTCGCTGACCACACACGTGGTTTCAAACACAAACCAGTCAGGGCACAAAGGGGTGACCACGTCGCCGGCGACTCGCAACTTAAGCGCGACGGCTGGTGCGTAAGGGGACCTTCAAACGGCCTCAACCCTGCCGAAACAACTAGCACGCGCAACTGGACCCCAGGGAGAGTGGACACAAGGTCCCATGGGATTTACGGGCCACATGGCCCCCTCTCTCCACCGAACGCGCGATCCCCGTGCCTGGGAACCAACTCCAGTGCTACGGGCGCTGCTGACGCCACCAGCGGCAAGGCGAGGACGCCCAGCCGCTTGGTTCCCAAAGAAATCGGCCAGTTGCATCTCACCCAGCTGGCGGATAACGCTCCTGACAGTGTGCCCCGTGGAGTGTGTGTGTGTGTGTGTGTGGCACTGGCACCGTGGGAACAGGTGCCAGGCCCCCGCCCACGGGGAAGGAGCAGGAGGAGGAGGAGGAGGAGACGGAGACGAGTGGGAGGAGGAGGAGGACGAGGAGGAGGAGGAGGAGGAGGAGGAGGAGGAGGAGGAGGATGGGGAAGAGGTGAGGAGGAGGAGGAGGAGGAAGACGAGGTCGTTCTCCTCCTCCTAGACGAGGTCTTTCTCCTCCTCCTCCTCCTCGACCTCCTCCTCCTTTTGTTGCTCATACTCCTCCTTCTCCTGTTCCTGCTGAAGGCTGACTCCTAAAGGCATGAGAATCCCCAGGGCCAGTCGACCCCGGGGGGTGATCAAACCAGTGAGCCAGGCGACTCCTGGAGCCATAGCTCCAAGAGTCGCCGGCTGGTGAGGTACATGGTAATGATCCTCCTCCTTCTCCCTGCCTCCTCCTCGTCCTCCCTGCCTCCTCATCCCTACTTCCTCCTTCTCCTGGTCCTTCTGGTCCGCGTCGTCCTCGTCCTTCCTCCTCCTCCTCCTCCTCCTCCTCCTCCTCCTCCTCCTAGCCTCGCCTCGCCTCGCCTCGCCTCGCCTCTCCTCTCCTCTCATCTCCTCGAATCTCCTCTAATCTCCTCTAATCTCCTCTAATCTCCTCGCCTCTCTTCTCCTCTCCTCTCCTCTCGTCTCTTCTCCTCTCCTCTCCTCTCCTCTCCTCTTCTCTCCTCCCCTCCTCTCCTGTGGGAAACAATCGACGTCTCCAGACGCTGCGCCTCCGCAAGACAAAGTCATTGCAACGAAAAAAACAAGTGCATGGGTGCGGGAAGGGAGGGACTGAGGGGAGGAGGGGAGGGGGGGAAAGAGGGGGCGGAGGCGGACGGGATCGAACAAGCTCGAACGAAGGGCCACGGGCGGGGCCCAACATCCTTCAACCAGAGGACAGAGGGCACCGTGAGCGATGACCAGGGGACTGGAGTGCGCTCGTGTGAGTATGGGGCGACACGAAGTTGGAGGCCGCCCGAAAAAGCCAGGCGGAGGCCAGGCCGGCAGAACAAGGAAGCCCGAAGAGAGGGCCAACGAGCGACGAGGGTCGGACGCCAGAGGGAGGCGGAGGGCGGAGCGCTGGCGGCCTCGTGAGAGGCCGGACCCCCCCCCTTTATAATCCCCCCGACAAGCGAAGCCGCTTAGGAAACGCACCCAAGGAAGGAATCGAGCAGGGCAAGGCTGTTTGGTAAACGCCCTGGGCCGTTTCGTAAACGTCCACTGTCTGGTCCGGGTGGTTTTCCCCCCTTGCATTGTGAGAGCGAGCAGCAGGGCACGGCGCGAAACAGACCAAGCGGCCACCACTACGTCGGGTGCCGCCGGCGGTGTCCCCTGCTTACGGCGTCCCCAGGACTCCCAGGGAGGCACACAGGTGGCCCCCGGAGCACGCACCCCGCCCCGAGGCCCCAGGGGCCACGCGGGGGCTCCAGGAAGAAGGGCACGAGAAGCTGGGGACACCTTGGGCCCAGACCGCATTTGAGATTCACCCAACTGCGCCGGCTGAATGGGAGGAGAGAGGAGGAGGAGGAGGAGGAGGAGGAGGAGGAGGAGGAGGAGGAGGAGGAGGAGGAGGAGGAGGAGGAGGAGGAGGAGGAGGACGAGGAGGAGGAGGAGGAGGAAGGAGGGAGGAGGAGGAGGAGACGGAGGAGGAGGAGGAGGAGGATCCCGTGATGCCGATCCTGCGCCACCACGCTGCTGCTGCGGTTGCCGCGGGGCTCGAGGTGGGTGAAGCCCATGCGGAAGCCGAGCTCGGAGGTGCCCCGGATCCTCTCGCGGGCGGTATGTTCGAGCCCCTCCTCGCCCAGACGCGAGCAGGGGCGCCGGCAGCCTTCGATCTTGATGACTGTGCGAGGCTGCGCCCCTCACGCCTCCAGGGCTGCACGGCTGGGGCTGGCCGCTCCTCCTCCTCCTCCTCCTCCTCCTCCTCCTCCTCCTCTCCCTCCTCCTCCTCCTCCTCCTCCTCCTCCTCCTCCTCCTCCTCCTCCTCCTCCTCCTCCTCCTCCTCCTCCTCCCTCCTCCTCCCTCTCCTTCCTCCTCCTCCTCCTCCCTCCTCCTCGTCTCTCGATCCTCGTCGCTCTCCTTCGTCGTCGGGCTGGAGGCAGGTGTTAGGATGCGGTGCCCGTGTGCACGAGCACGTGTTGGTGGGGGCGCTGCCGCTGAAGCCCAGGCGACGTACTGGCCACCGCTCGGACGCTAATTCCCCGTGCACGTTTCGATTTCGCGCGTGTACTTCTCACAAGATGGCTCAAGATGCTCCTCGATGGTCCTCGCCGAGAAAAAAATGCACCCACGTCCCAGCGATGCCAAGTGCATGTCGGGTCTGCGAAGCCTCCCCGTGCCCAGCGGTGCGCTCTGCCCACAAGGGCCTGGATGGTCACCACGCGCAGGTGCACGCTCGTGGGCTCGAGTGTGATGCCAAAAGGTCGGGGGACGTCGACTGACCACCTCGCCGAGGCTGGCCCGGCCAGCGCCTGCAAGGTGGTCAGCTGACGCAAGGGGGCGTCACGAGCAGGACGCCGCCGTGCTAGCATGTCAGCTCGATGTTCTGGTCTCCGGGTGTGTCTGGGTCTGCTTCTGGGGGCCTGTAGAGGCCTCCTAAGTGGGGTCCGAATATATGGGGTCGGAGGATCGCGTCGCATCGCCGATGCATAACCGACGCATCGGCGAACTCGGCGATTGCATCAGCGACGTCGATGTGGAGAACATCGGGCTCCTTATCGAGCCGCATCGCCGACGCATCGGCGATGCGGCGCGATCCTCCGACCCCTCTGCTCGCAACCCACTTGGGAGGCCCAGGGCCTGAGACACTGGTCTCCTTGGCTCCGGGGCACAGTCAGCTTGACGCCAGCGGCGCGGGGGGCGGAGGCCCCCGAGCCTATCGTTAGGTCGGGCATGTCCTCCCACAGGCGGATCCTGGAAGAAAGGCAAAACAATAGTCGAACGTAGTTTGAAGCATAGCCAAAACATCATCGAAACAGTGTTCCCATACAGTCGGGGCGTTGACCTAAGGAACCCTAAATAATGAACGAGGCCCCTTTTTTCCATAATGATCGAAAGCATAAGGAAAACCTGAGGCAGGCTGTGAAACACTTAAGGAACGCGGAGCCCCTCCCCAACCAAAAGGGTTCCTTCTTCAGGGCCCCGACTGTAACACTGTTTACCACTCTTGAGTATACTCCTCCTGTAGAGGGGCATGCCCGACGTAGGCCTCTCGCCGACAGCTCAGCGACGGGCCCACGAGGTGGGACCCCCCGCTCTCCTGGGCAGGCCTGGGCGACCAGGGCCCCAGGCCCCGATCGGCGGGGAATGGACCACTCGGGGCCGCTGCTTGCCCCCCTGAGCCAGCCCGTCCCTCTCGGCGAGCCCCCCCCCCCCCGACTTGCAAATGACGACCTCCTCCCTTCCCGCGCCCTCGCGCGAGTCCTCCTCCTCCTCCCCCTCCCCCTCCTCCTCCTCCTCCTCCTCCTCCTCCTCCTCCTCCTCCTCCTCCTCCTCCTTCCTCCTCCTCCTCTCCTCCTCCTCCTCCTCCTCCCCTCCTCTCCTCCTCCTCCTCCCTCCTCCTCCTCCCCCTCCCTCCTCCTCCTCCTCCTCCTCCTCCTCCTCCTCCTCCTCCTCCTCCTCCTCCTCCTCCTCCTTCCTCCTCCTCCCTCCTCCTCCTTCCTCCTTCCTCCTCCTCCTCCTCCTCCTCCTCCTCCTCCTCCTCCTCCTCCTCCTCCTCCTCCTTTGCCCGACCCTCGCCGCTCCCTAGCGCCTCTGCTCCTGCGCCACGGGCAACCGCAATGGGCACGCATATCTCTCCCTCTGAGACGGCCCGGCCTTCTCTGCCACGGGAACCGCACCTCCATCTGAAGCGTTGCGTGATGTGCGCAGCCTGCCAAGCGGAATTCTCCTCCACACCCACCGCCTGCGCCGCCTGGGGAACTGATGCCAGGAGAGGAAGACAAGACGGCATAGACGCAAACTTTGGGCGCTCCGCGAGATTTCTTGGATCTGCGCTGAACTCCCCTCCCTGGCGCGCGGAGCCAGCCAGGGGCGGCGCCAGAGGCACCGCGGGGGGGCATCAGCGCGGATCCAAGAAATCCGCGCGGAGCGCCAAAAAGTTCATGTGTATGGCGTTTTTCTCCTTCGAGTAGTTGGGCCCCAGAGGGGGGCCCGACAGTACATCCATAGCCGCCGCCGCCCGAGGCCCAGAAAGATCGGCTCTCCCCCAGGCGGCGGACGTGGACCACCCCCAGCCTCGGTTGGACGCCAACCCACGTCCACATGCAAACAGACCTCCCGCCCCCTCCCCCCTTTCGGGTGTTGCTAGAGGTGCCCCTGGCCCAAGGTGCCCCCAGGATCGTCAGGGGGGCCCAGACGACCCCCGAGAGCACCCCTCACGAGGCCCTGAGGGCCCCAGGCACCCCAACATGCAGCGAAAAGCTGGGAGCACCTTGGGCCAAGGGCACCTCTGGCACCACGGGCAAAACACCCGACCCCTCCCGGCCCCCCCAGCGGCAGCCGAGCCAGAAGCCGACGGCGCCCTGCCCGCCTCCCCCCCCTGGGATCCCCGCCGCCGGCCTCCCTCCGGCCTCCCTTTACCAGCCTCGAACGTATCCCCATCCCCAAGATTGACACGCCAAAAGGCGATGACAATCTTAGGGATTCGCCATCAAAAATAAGAGAACCCCTAAGATTAGCATCGTGATGAGGAGGTGCCCAGCATAGGGATAGGGATATGTTCCAGGCTGGTAATCTCAATCTCTCCTTCCTGCCGGGCGGCTGGCTTGCAGGGGGGGGGGGGTCGTGGCCTGGCGAACCAGCGCACGCTGGAACGCAGCGGCGACGCCGCCACCACCCGGGGGGCCACCGCCCGCGCCCCGCTTTGCGATGCCTCCCCGAGAGCTGGGGCTCGAGGGTGCCCCGCGCGAGCTCGGGGGGGCCGCGGCCGCCCAGTGAGAGGGCCCTCCCCGGCTCTGTCCCTCGGTGGTCGTGGCGTCGCCTTCCCTGCGGATCTCGTGCGGCCCGTCTTCGTGGCGCCTCCGGAGCCCGGGCGTGGCGAAGGACGCGCCCGGCGGCGGGGTCAAAATCGGCCGCACGGCGCAGATCCCGCGCCCGTCCCACAGTCCCAGCTCCAGCCGCTCCCCCGTCTCGTCCGACCCGGCCCCGTCGAATCCCGCCCCCGGCCCCATCTGCAGCCCCTGCGCGGAGCGGGGGGGGCTCCTCACCATCATGTTGACCTTGCGCATCTCCACCTCTGCAGATCGGGGATCTTCGACTGCAAGACAAATACCCAGCGAGTGAGCATGTCAAGAACGCAACAAGACATGCGTAACACTGAGAGCCGACAACGCGAAGAAATGAAACATCGGCAGCAATCCCGACTAGGCCATTTTTCTGGTGGCAGATGTCGAACCAGATCGATCCGTGAGAGTCATGGGCCCCGAACTTTTTGCGAGAACGCCCGATGTGAAGAACATGCAGCTCATGGACCCTAGGGGAAAGGAGGGCAACAACAACCCTTCTTGCGCTGCACGCGAATCGTTGCACGTCACCCGTGCGAAAGATCCTCGGCGGTCGTAGAGGGGGGCGGAGGGGCGCGGGGGGCTCCGGGCCCCAGCCACCGCTGGCTTGAACAGAAAACGCGGCACCCCTCCCCTCCGCCTCACGGTCAAGCCACTAGCGTGGGGAACGCGAGATAGGGAGCGACGCCCCTCTCTGGCCCCAAGAGAGTCTGGGTGCACGAGAGGCGCTAGAGTTAGGTCGGTCATGTTCTCTTACAGGCGGGCTTTGGAGGAATAATCTTTCAATTCAAAGACACATTAAAACATTATCAAGCAATATACCAAGACTCGTCCCCTGACAATTTTTTGACTTTTTTAAAGGAGGCCCTGGCCTTCGTAGACGCCAAGGCGGGACGCAAGATCTGGAGGCCCGCGCGATGAAGAAAGCGCGGCACAGGCAGGATTCGAAAATTCAGAAACAAAGCGCGCGCATGATTTCCCGGAGCTCCCGGAGCGCCGAGAGGTCATGCGCATGCCTTTTCTGGGGGCGTCCAAGAGAGACGAAACCAGGTAAGGCACACAATCGGACATAGATATTCCGGGGTTGCTCAAAGGTGCCCCTGGCCTAAAGTGCCCCCAGCTTCTCGCTCGATTTTGAAACCTCTGGGCCATCCTGGGCCTCGTGAGGAGTGATGTGGAGGCCGTGGGGGCCTCCTTGGAAATCCTGGGAGAACCTCGGGCCAAGGGCACTTTTGGCAACACCCGAGACATACAGAAATGTTTCGGGGATCTCTGAGATCCGGCAACCCTCAAGGACGGCTGGGGCGCCGCGGCCTTCTCAGAGCAACCCTGGACGCTCGGAGAGCGTCCCGGAAGGCTCTGCAACGGTGATGTGCCTGTCCTGGCCCCGCCCGCTTCGGGGGCGTCCAAGAGGGGGGCGTGCGAGGGGGGGAGAGCAGATCGTGGCCGGCGGCACGTGCGCGGCCCAGGGGAAGGGGCCGGGGACGCACTGAAACGAGAAAGAGGCGCCACGAATCTGGGCAGCTCTTATGGCCCCCCGCCATGATTCCCCCCCCCCCCTAGTCATCACCACCCCCTCGTGGCCGCCTCCGCGAGGAGGGGCAGAGGGGTGTGGGGGGGGAAAGCGGGAGGGGTGTGTGTGTGTGGAGCCGACCAAAAACCACAGGAGTGAGGCGAGGGGGCGGGGGGAGGCAGTGCGGCGCGCTCCCTGGGGAGGCCACGCGCTTGCAAGAACCCGCCCCGCCCCCCACGACAGCCTCCCGCCAGGCGCCCGCGTCCCGCGAGCAACGGCAGCAGCACGCCAGCGAAGAGCCACGGCCCCCGCGGGGAGGGCGGGCCGCCGGAGCCGCCCTCCGCCACGGCAGCGTCCCTCCCATCCCGGAGGCCACGGAGGCTGCCTGCGCAGCCTGCCCGCGTGCCCGCACGCGCGAGAGATCGCCCCGCGCAGAGGTGCCCGGGTGCGCCGCACCGGCAGACGGCGCAAGCCGCCGAGGAGAGGCGGGCAACGCGCGCAGGTGTCGCTGCCGCTGGTCGCCAGGGGGAGTCACTCGAGGCGCTCGGTGATGCGGTGATGCTCGTCAGGCTGTAACTGAGGTGCTGATCGCGCCGCGCATACCCCAGATCACGGGCGCACGCTTCTCGGGAAAACAACATTGAACGCATGAGTTGGTCCCGCTGGCCATGGTTAGACAGAAGCAAATGTGCGCGCGCGGGGGACTGGGGCCCGTTTCTCCTATCTCTTCTTCTCCCCCCCCCACGCCCCACCCCACCCACCTCCGCGCGCGCGCGGGAGGAGGAGGGAGGAGGGAGGGAGCAAACAGGACGGAGAAGAAGGTGGCGAGAGGAGGGAGAACACACCCAGGTCAGGAGGAGGTGGTGGTCGAGGGAAAAGTAAGAGGAGGGGGAGCGTGAGCCCGGGCACCTCAGACGGTACACCGGTGAACCCACGGGGACGAGGGCCGCCCTCCGACGATCCTGCCTCGAGCGCAAGCGGCCCCGGAGCCCCCCGAACAGCGGCCAGATGAGAGGTTGCAGAGTGCGACGGCCTCTGAGCAGGGCACTGCGGGCCCCGTAAACGGAGACGTTGATAGACCACGGCGCTGGCGCACCCAAGGAAGTTGTGGCCGTGGGTCGAGATCTTCTCCAGTCTTCGTTCCCTCCAGCCAAACTTGGTCGGGCATATTCTCCTATACAGGCGGATTTTGGAAGAAACAACTATTCACATTTAGTCAAACATAATGAAAAACCAAAAAAACGTCCCCGTACAATTTTTATATCAATTTTGGCTACTCCTCCTGTAGAGGGACATGCCCGACTTGAAGCCAGACGGGTCAGAATCGTGTTCTGCAGCGTCCCGTCTTGGCCCCCAGGGTCCGGAAGAGCGTGCTCCAGCCAGAGGCCGGGTGGCCTGTGACCCGCTCCAGAAGCCCTGCGCCCAACAAGCCTCGCCCCGTGAACACACACACATGATACATCCGACGGCTTCCGCCAACGTTCCGCCGCCGTTCCGCCAGCGGAGCCGCCCGCCGTCTACTCCCCGGCGCACTGCGCAGGCCCTCCGCCGCATGCTGGCCGAGGAGGCAGCCTCCGCGCCTCGATCCCTCGAAGGCGGGGGTCCTGCTGGAACGCCCCCTGCGACGAGGCCAGAAGAGACCTGCCCCCTGACTCCGGATCCGCCCTACTCTGGGGAAATTCGTAAGTAGGGCTTGGACTTTCCGCCTTGTTTTTCAGGCCCCGCTGGTGCCAATTTCCGCCTTACTTTTCTGCTGCTGCTTCCGCCCTACTTCTGTGGATGTCCGCCCTACTTTATACTGGGTGCAGAAATTTCCGCCCTACTTTTTCGGCCTCTTAAGTTGGGAAAAAAGCCAAAGTAGGGCGGATCTGGAGTCAGGGCCGCACCTGCAGCCGGACCTTCCAGTGAGGCACCCGGGAGGTCGACAGCATCGGGCCAAGTGGCTCGTGTAAGGGGCAACGATAGGGGAGGACTGGCATCGGGGGGGATGCATCGACCTGGAATCGGCGATGCATCGCCGACAGATCGGCGATAGGCCCCCCATAGTGAATCCGCACCTCCCTGTGAAGGTTGGGGCGATCGGGCCCCTGTCGGCGATCAGTGGGCGATTGGAGGTCGATGCATTCCCCCCCCTGTGCTCGACATCCGACTGTGCGAGTAGAGAGGGGATCTGCGCCATGGTAAGGGATGGGAGGGAGGGGTAGGATGTCAGATATGACGCGAGCGCACCTAGCTTGTCCTCCTCCCCCTCCTCCTCCTCCTCCTCCTCCTCCCCCTCCTCCTCCTCCCCCTCCTCCTCCTCCTCCTCCTCCTCCCCCTCCCCTATCGTTGCCCCCGATCGCTCCAGGAACCCTGCGTGGACGTCTCCCTCCTGCTCCCGCCGGCCCCCTGCGCTATGCCCTCCGCCCGAGGGCGAGGCCCGCCTGCAGGCCAAGGGGGCCCTTCCTGGGTGCGCGCCTAGGTCCTGCCACAGATAAACCAGCCTCGAACTCATCCCTGTCCCTGAGAGGGGCGAGCAAAAAGCGAGGACAACCTTAGGCATGGGCCCCCAGAAACCGAGGGAATCCTCAAGATCGGCATCGAGGCGAGGCGATGTCAAACATAGGGATCGGGATATGTTCCAAACTGGTAAAACAGGATGGTGCCAGCGGCGGGCCTACCGCGCACAGAAGGCACCGCTACACACCCCCGCCGTGCCAGGCCAGGGCCATCCTGGGCCCCAGGATGGTGTATTACGCCCTCCTGGCCGAGGCCAGGAGGGTCTCCACACCATCCACACCATCCTACAAGCCCTTGCGTCCACGTCAGATATCTAGCGTCAGCATTGGAGTAGCGCTGACCATACAGCACCACACAATCACAATTGACGAGGGTTGTAGGGCCCAGGATGGCCCTGGCCTGGCACGCTGGTGGTGTATAGATGCCTTCGTCGGTGCACCCGGCAGTGGCGAGGGCGGCGCCCTCCCGGCGGAGAGCGCGTCCCGACGGCGCGCGGTGGCCGCCTCGAACAGGCGCCCCTGCGGCACCACCGCCACCGAGGCGTTGGTCTGCACGAGGCCGTCGCCCTTCACGATCCAGTGCACCTCGGGGGCGGCCAGGAGGAGGGTCTGGGCCCCCCCCACTGGGGCCCGAGCAGATGAAGTCGGAGGATCGCGCGGCGCCGCCGACGCATAGGCGGTGCGGCTCGATGTGGAGCGGAGCCCAAGTTTTCTCCACGCCGACGTCGCCGATGCATCTCGGCGGCGAGCGAGGGGGGGACGTGAGAAGGAAAGGGCCTCCTCCGAAGGCGGCGGCGGAACCTCTCAGAAGCCCTCGCGCCTGCTGAAGAAAAGTTGTTTGGGTGCCTTCGGGGAAGGCGCAGGAAACTTCTCAGACGGCTGGGGGACTTCCGAGCCTTCTGGGAAGCCCCGCTCCTTCTCACTTCCAAGAGAACCCAGAATCGGATCGATAAGTCGGATTGGCGATCGACATGAATCGGATGGGCGAAAATCGGCAGCCGAGTCGGGAAAGGTCGAATCGGCGGATATCGGCAGGCTAGTATGCCTCCAATGAGAAATCATAACCCAAATCGGAAGCTCAAGTCGAATCGAATCTGAATCGGAGGCCTTCGAAGTCGAACCGAATCAAATCGGAATGAATCGAGACGAGCCCTGTTCCCACTTCCCCCCCTCGCTCGCCGCCAAGCATCGCCGACCATGCGTCGGCGATGCGGCGCGATCCTCCGACCCCATCTGCTCGGACCCTTGTGCAAAGCCTCCAAGGGGGAAAGCCCTCTGCCATTGGGGCTCTCCCTGTCGTCCTCCTCTTCGTCCTTCTCAACCTCCTCACTCCAGTGAGGGGACAAACAAGTAGAACCCTCTTCAACACCCGTCTTGATCAGTTCAAGACATGGGATGTCTCGTACCTCAACATCATCTGTCCTGTCTCTGGCGGTCTTTCGGAACGAGCGGGCACCCCAGAACCGCTCCAGGCGAGTCGCAACTGCTCGAAAACGTCCCTTCAGCTGCAGAACCGATGGAGGCTCGTTAGGAAACCTTAGAATAAAAAACAAAAGAGGAGGACACTTTAGAAGAGGAAGAACCGCCATTTACATGAAATGTTTCGCGCTCCGCGCGGATTTCTTGGATCTGCGCTGGGCCCCCCTCCCTGGCGCGCGGAGCGCGCCAGGGGCGGCGCCAGAGGCGCCACCAAGAGGGCCCAGCGCGGATCGGAGAACTCCGCGCGGAGCGCGAAGAGCTTCTGTTGCTGGCGTTTTTTTTTGTCCGATGCAGGGGACACGACGGCTGGGAACGAGCCCAGGAGTGGAGCCCTGCACCTCGCCATCGCTCGGACGTCCATTCCCTGTGTTTTTGTTCGGTTTCGCGCGTGGCTTTTTCGCCAAATGTTCGAGAATGCTCCTCGATGGTCCTCGCCGAAGGAAAACTGCACACGTCCGAGCGATGCCAAGCTGCACTCTCCACGCGGGAGGTCTGGGCGGGGCGCCTCGGAGTCCTTGATCGTGGCCGCGGGTCCCGCCTCTGGGCGCGCGCGCGCGCGAGCCCGGGGGGGGGGCGCCGAGAAGCGCGGGGGGGCCACGGGGGGGGCGGAGGGAGCCCTCCCTGACGACCTGCCAGACCACCCCAACCCAACCCGAAGACCCGAGTCTCGGGTTTGGGGGGGTACGGGCCTCAGTCATGCGCGTCTTCTCCATGCTCCCCGGCCCCCCCCCTCCAACTGGAAACGGAGGGTAAGTCGGAGCCTTCGGGTTGGGCTGGGGCAAGCTGGTTGGCGGTGGCTCCCTCCCTCCTTCCCTCCCAACCGTGTCGTCTCTCCCACCCTTCAGCGGGTGGACGAGATCTCGCAAAGTGACCCGAGCGGTCTGAGGAACTGCGTACCAGAAGTTCCGGCGATCTCTGAAGAACTCCCCCCGGAACATTCCAATGCTGACTTGCACGATTCTGCCCATCTGGAATTGGAGTGCTCGCTTGATGCCAACATTGAGATGTAGGGTGCGGGGATTGTTCGTCGAGGTGGCGTCGCAATGTATGTGCAGATGCACGCGGTCAGGAACAACTTGCACAAATTCGTCATCCCACCGTTCCTCCTTCTCAACCCCGCTTCGCTACATCTTATTCCTCCTTGTCGCAGCCCCCAGGCGCGCCGATGGGGGGCAACCCAGGAGTTTCGCGGGAGACTCTCTTACAGTCCCTGGACTTGGACTCTGCAAGGATGGAGGGAGGGTGGTTTTCAAGATCGGGCTCTCGCCGCAGCGCCGCGTGAACTCGTCTTACCAGTTGCAACGGCTTCAAGGATGAAGGGATACAGTTTCAGAATGAGGTCGTTGCCCTCGCGCGACGCTCTCTCGTCTTACAAATTGTGCCGCAACTGCGTGGACTGACCGCATGTCGTTTTCAAAACGAGGCTCTCGCTTTCGGAACGCACACATTCGTCGCACAAGTGCAACAGACTTGGGTATGATTGGGGGTTCGTTCTCAAAATGCGGCACCATTAGCAAAGCGGACGTTCGCTTTAAAAGCGCCCAGCCATTTGAAGGTCGGTTCGAAAATAGGGCTGTCACCTGAGCGCCACGCGCATTCGTTGTGGACGTTTGCAACAGATTCCAGAAAGATGGACAACTCATGTTCCAAATCGTCTTGCCTATAGGCGAGCTTGTCCACTGATCCCCCCTCTATTGCCACATACACGCGCTTGCGTTGCGCATGGCCTCGTCTGCTGCGCATGGCTTACTTTGCTACCTACAGTGGCTACTATGCTGCCATTACGCGCATCCTCTGACGCGCATGGATTCCTCTGTTGCGCATGGTTTCTATGCGAACGTCCTGTGCTGCGCATGGCGTCCTCTGCTTCGCACGGATTCCTCTGCTATCGGCATGGCTTGCTCTGTATCCGCGTGGTTCCCTCTGCCATCCGCAGGGCTTGAGCTGTCTCTACATTCATATGGATTCGTGCAGCTACTCCAACTGTGTTCCAACAGACGCACAACAACCGCCAAACTCGGCAATAGAGAAGAGCACAATAACATTGAGTAAACGGGAGCAGAGTTAGATGAGAGAAGACGGGTGAAGCTGAGCAGACAACAGTATAGTAGAGTGGATCCTACCATATTAGAAGAGGTAGAGGAGAGCAGAGGGGAGTAGAAGTATAGTAGACTAGTGGTACGCCTAAAAACACCAGGTGATCGAGCAAGCTAGGTCAGGTCCGCAAGATCGCGGGGAGTAGGGTTGACTTCAGCATAATAAAAACGAATATGGTAAAACGAAGAATCGATTGGATGAGCGTAGGAAGGAATAGACCAGACATGGATAGAAAACAATATAATAGCGTAGGCGTAGAGCAGAGTAAAGCAAAAAGACAACACGCTAGAGTCCGGGCAGGGTGGGTCAGGTAAAAGTGGGGTACAGTAGAACAGAATTGGCCAAGGTCGGTTAGGATTGGGCCGTGTGGAGCAGGGAAGAAGAGCGCAGGGTAGAGAAGGTAGTGCAGTAATCGAGTAGAGCAGACTAGCACGTATTACAGAAAAAAACAATCGACTAGAGAAGGGTCCACTCGAGTAAAGTAGGCGTGGGATAGACTAGAGAAGATACAACGTAGGGCACAATATAAAAGGAGTGCGGCTGGATTCGGGAAGGCCAGGGCAGGGCAGGGAAATTGGGCAAAGTAGAGCAAGGCAGATGGAATCATAGTCGGGTAGGCTAGAATGAAGTAGGGAAATTGAAACTGTAGGAACGGGGCGTATGTTCGAGTATAGCAGTAGGCTAGGAACAGAATAGAGCAGCGCATCGTAGAGAAGGAGAGAAGTAGAAAGGGCGACGAGCGCAGCTGCACAGAACGGACAAGTGCGAAAGTGGTGCAGCGTACAGTGTAGCAGAAGCGAGCCAGGTAGAGTGTGGAGCACCCTCAGGGCTGGCAACCGCTGGCCCCCTCAGGGGGCCAGCCCGCGCCCGCGGCCAAGCCCGCCATGACGCCTTCCACGCCATGGCCCCCCCAGCCCGGCGCAGACTCCGCGGCGGGCGCGCGCAGGCCTCGCCGGGAGGCAGCCCGCGCGGGCCTGCGCGGATCGGCACCGAAAAGCTGGCCCCTCCAGCGGGTACCGCTGGCGCAACACCGGAAAGCTGGCTGCAGCGCCCCAGTCAGCGCCGCCGAGGTCGCGCTGGCAGGGCAGGCCACTGGCCATGCGCCCTCGGCTGCGGCGCCCCCCGAGCTCGGCGCACTTCCTGCTCCGCCGGGAAGCGCTGGCCGCCTCGACCGTTGGGGGCGCCTGCCAAGCCCGCCTGCAATGCGGCCTCCTCCTCGAGGCGCCCCTGCCGCGCCGCCGCCTCCACAGCCTGGGTGGCCATAGCGCGTCGCCCCGCTCCGCGTCCTTCTGGGCCATCTCCTCCTGGAGGCCGCCCATCGCGTGCTCCTCGTGGCGGAGCTGCTCCCTGAGCTCCACAACCTGGGCCCGCCGCTGTCCCGGCGTCCGCGCGACGTTCTGCCTGAGCTCCTCGACGGCCTCCACGCTCCGTGCCTCCTGTCGGGCAGGCTCCTGCGCGAGGTCCGCCAGCTCGCCCCCCTTCCGCTTGAGCCTCTCCTCCCAAGGACTCCCGCAGCTTCGTCGGCTCCTCTCTGGCGCCCCGCGCGGACCGCCCGTGCTCCTCCGGAGCTCTCCGTCTCCAAGTGAAGGGGCCCCGGGACACACAAATAAATACACACAAATAAACAGATTCCCCATATTTTCCTATATTTTCTGGGTTTCTGTCTTCCCCCCCCCTTCCCATATTTTCGCATATTTTCTGGGGAATCGACGATTCATCGTGTCTGTGTGTATTTTTTCCCTCCTGATCCAAGACCTCCTCGCCCAGCGACTCCTGCCGGGCGAGCTTCTGCTCGAGCCTGCCCCTCGGCACCGCCCACGGGGCCCGCCCAGGAAAGCGGAGGGCGGGACAGGGGCGAGCGGCGCCTCCCCCAAGACTGAAGGGGCCCCAGGACACACAAGTAAATACACATACATAACAGGATTCCCCATAGTTTCCTATATGTTTTGGGTTTTTTTGTCTTCCCCCCCCACTTCCCATATTTTCCCATTTTCTCTTGGGAATCGACGATTGATTGTGTCTGTGTGTTTTTCCTTCCTGAAAGACTTCCTCCTCCCCCGGGGGCGCTTCCCCGCGGCGCCGCGGGCCGCCTGGCCGCGCCGCCGGGCCGCGCGCGCCGGGCACCTCCTAGAGGCTCCCGCGCCGAGGCCCGCATGCCGGACACCCCGCCGCGGCAGGGCCTCGGGGCCGCCTGGCGGGCGAGGCACCTGCGCCGCGCGGCCCAGCGCCACCTGCTCCGCGAGGAAGGGCCTCGCCGAGCGCTCCTTAGGCGCGGACGTCGTCGCCGACCGCCGGGCCCGCCGCCCCCGGGCCGAAGAGCGCGTCCGCTTCCGTGCGGACGGCCGCCGCAGCGGCGGCGGCGAGGTGCTGGCGCCCTCCGCCACCCTCAGCCGCGCCCGCCGCAGACGCCCGCACGAGCGGGGACAGCGCAGCCATCGCCTAGCTTCGCCCTTCCGTCGCCATTGCCTTTGCCGCGCTGGAAGGGAAAGAGACGGAGCCGCCCTCCCCTACGAAGAGGAGAGACATGGCGCGTTCCTTGCTTGCCTGGCGCCCAGGGCAGGTTCGAGCCAAAAAGATGACGAATGAAATGTAGAAACCAGTCGGGTAGAGTCGTATATACCGTAGGGTAAAGTCGGGTGGTGTCCCACCCAGTCCAGTCTGGTCTACGTCTGTTCAGTCGACCTCAGTCCACCCGAAATCCACATTCGTCTGATCCATTTGGAGGCTGCGCTGGCTGATACATTTGGACCCGACGCCGTAGGGCCGGGCGCGTCCACCTGAACTAGTCGCAAGAGTTATCGGGCCGGTAGACGGATCATTTCAAAGTGAGGCTCTGGCCTGAGACCTCCCCGAAATCCATGACAAGACATGCCAACGCGTGCAACGGTCAGATACATGGGGGGCGGTCATCTTTCAAAACGGGGAACTCCCTGGAAACCTCGTTGGGCGAGCATTCCTGGCTGTATCCCAAGAAGCTGCAACCGAAGTTCGTTCTCAGAACGGGGCTCTCGCCAGCATGGCAGGCCCCTTGGGTTCTAATCTTGGGGGACGCCTCTGTAACTGACGAGGAAGCCTGGAGGGACTTATGGGGCGGGGCCTTCAGACGGGAGTGTGTTGCAACATCGCTGGCGCAGCGCGGGTTCAATACTGTCATCCTCCGCCTCCCGCGAAGCGAACTGGCAGATACTTGACCAGACCCCCTTTCCCTGCAGCTTCACACGAACTCGCCTCTTTCCATCTCGTCAAGCACTGCCCTGTGTTGTCGTTCCCAGTTGTGCTTCACAAGGCGAGGTGCTCCTTGGCAGTGTTTGGTCCAGCTGCATTGTTGCTTCTGGCCCAACTTGGCCATTCCAGCGCATGATCCTGCAACGCGATAGCGCGTACTCAAGACCCCTCGTATACTGGTGTCCTCAAAGGCTGGGGGCAAGGAGTACGGACAATATGCGAATGCGAGCGGGCAGCATGCAATTATAGCACCGCCTGCTCGCTTGACCATCTCCATGCTGCCACAAGTGGCTTTGCGTCTTCCCTGGAGGTGGCATTTTGTCCACCAGATGCAACAATGACAATTACACGTATCCACGAACGAGAGCATCGCTTAATGATTGAATTGTTGGTTCGATCATGTGGCACAGTAGGCTGTGACGCGACGTGTTCAATACGCTCTGCCCCGATTCGACCAACATGTTCGAGATCGCCTCACAAGTAGCTTGGCCATGCGAATGGCATGCAAAGGACAAACTTATGGTGCATCCCCGCTCGACATACAAACCATCGTTGTCAGGACTGCCTCCCGAACTAACTTGCCATTGTGTTGTATATCTCGGTCTCTCTCTCTCTCACTCTCCCTCTCGGTTTCTCCCTCCCTCGTTCTCTCCCTCACTTCCTCTGCCTCATTCAATACTCCCAATTTACCCAGATTCGCGGCGAAACAAGAACTTGCCTACCCCTCTCTACACCTCTCACTTCTGTCACACTGCGCCCCTCTGTCCTGTCGACCGTGGTGTTTCTCATCATACCAGACCTTCCTTTCCTGATCCGGGTCGTTCGTCATGTGACCCTGCTTTTCGGTTGTCCCCCCTACGCTTCCCCGTCCCTGGTATCCTTCCTCCTGCGCCTTCAGTCCTTCAACTGTCTGTGGAATGGCGGTCAAAACTGGAGGCCCTCTTTCGTACTACCCCAGCACATGTGTTATGTCGTCCGAACTAAACGTCTCCTTTCGTAAGCCACGATCACACTGTTGAGCTGCTCCGCAGACATGTAATACAGCGGCAATCCGTGGCTCTGAACGCGCAGCTTCGGGAAGGGCTTCTGGCGCGCGCGGCCAAATATGGACAGCGGACCATATCAAAATGACAGGCATAAGCGCGACCTGCTTCTGACTAGTAGCGAAGCTTCGAACTATACCAGAGTCGCACGCACCAGTGAACGACATTGAATGCCATACCTCCTTGTCTGCCCTATTCCCGCACACTGTCTGCCTTATGCCTCATTGGCTGCCCCACATTATGTGTAACACTTCTCAATGCAATACCTCGTATGACGGCCACATCAAATGCCACGATACCTGCTGTAATATCCGCCACCGCGTCCTGAGCCACGACTTGGATGGTCCTCAGGTGCCTTCGAGCTCTGTATGAAGTGCTGCAAACAAACTTTCGTTCAGGAGCATACAACCTGCGCTACCGGGGGTTCCTCGTGTGACCTTTACAAAAACCAAGATCGCGTTGTTCGGGACATGCAGACATGCAACTACAACGTGCCTTGGAGCCCTCTTTGTTGCGCCTCCTGGACCGTCTCGGAGGCTCTGAAAGGCGGCCCTAAAGGCCCAAATCGTCAAAAGATGTTACAATGTGTGTTAATGCTACCGCCTTTTTGGTCGGCCAGGTTGGCCCACGAGGCGCGCAAGATCATCCAAAAACGGCCCACGCGCTGTCAAGAGGGGCCCAAGAGGCCCCCAAGACAGCCCCAGGAGGGGGAAAACAAACTGACGCTTTTTAGCACTCCGCCCCGAGGTGGCTACAAGATCTCCCCAAGAGGCACCGAGAGCCCCAAGTCAAGCCTCAATGGCCCCCAGGAACCGCCTCCAGGAGGTTTCCGAGAGGCCTCCCAAGAGATCCTCGCAGGCATCCAGGAGGCCTCTGACCTACGACCCAAGCGCAATGACGGGATGGGCCGAAGCCCACTAGATCCGCCTCCCCCTTTAGTCTTGCCACTAGGGTGCCTTTAGAACTCGCCCTGGGGCTTCGCCACAGCGCGCCGGCCACCCGGAAGGCCGCCGAAAATTCATCCCATGTTCCTCCCATCGCCTGAAAAACATCCAAAATGGCCTCCAAGTTTGCCCAAGATGGTCCAAGACCTCCAAGACGGCCCAAGAGGGTCCAATGTGGCTCCAAGTCCGGCCGAGAAGCCACCAAAACAGCTCAAGACGGCTCCAAGACGGTCCAAGACGGGCCAAAATGTCCCAAAGAAGCCTCCAATACGGATCAAGAGGCTTCCGAAAGGGTCTCAAAGAAGGCAAGAGGCAGGAATCAGTGATTTGCCTTAGGTGCTTGAGAGATTTTAGCATTCGCTTCGTTTCGGCCTTCCGACGGCCCGAAACGGCCCGAAACGGCCCAAGAGCCCCCCAATATCGCCCCAATATCGCCGAAGAGGCATCCAGGATGGCCCCAGAAGGGGCCCAGATGCCCCCAAGACGGCCCCAAGACGGCCCCAAGAGAGTCCCAAGACGGCCCACGAGGTTTTTAAGACGACCAAGATGGCCTCCAAGACGGCCCTGGAAAACCCCCAGAGGGCTCCAAGTCGGTTCATACAGACCCGCAAGACGGCTTCCGACGGCATCAGACGGGCCAGGAACGCCCTGAGACAGCCAAACAAGCCCCCAGGAAGTCCCCCAGGTCCCCCAAGAGGCCCAAGGAGGCCCTCAAGAGGCCTCCAAGACACCCCCAGAAAACACCCAAGGTGCCCAAAGAGTGTCTCGAGAGGCCCTCTTTGTGCCGCCTCCTCATTCTCCTCCATTCATTTTCCTTATGACTAACTCCTCCGTGTCGCACCCCGAAGCCGGTCGAAAGGGCGGGCAGGGCTTTTCGCCTGGGACTTCACCATTTATGATCCTGAAGCTTAGAATTTGAAACATATTCACGGGTGGAGGGCGGTTTGGTTTCAAACTGATGCTCTCGCCTTAGCACCGCGCGCATCCGTATTGAAAATCTGCAAGAGCTTCACGGATGGAGGGCGGTTCCTTTTCAAAATCTGGCTCTCGCCCCAGGAGCCGCGCACACTCGTCTGAAACATCGCAAGAGATTCACGGATGGAGGGCGGGCCGCTTTTCAAATGTGGTCCTCGCCGTAGCGCCAAAGTTTGCAAGACTTACACACACGGAGGGCGGCTGGTTTTCAAAGTGTGTTTCTCGCCTCAGCACCGCGCACATTCGTTTTGAACATGTGCAAGAGCTTCACGAATCGAAGACGATGTCTTTTCAAAATGTGGCTCTCGCCTCAGCGCCGCGCACATTCGTCTAAATAGCGTTCAACCGTTTCAAAGATTCTCATGGTTAACGTACCAGAAGTTGCATTTTGGCGCCATGTGGGACTGTCAGGGTGCAACACTTACGTTGACTCGCGGTGTTGGCATCCTAGGAATGGCGTTCTGGCACGATTCAGGACGGTCGATACGCAACACTAGCGGTGATTCGCGGCGTTGAAGTCCCAGGAAGCGTTCTGGCACAGTTCAGGATATTCCCACGGTTGTCTTCCAACGGAGCACTTCCCTCGGTGAAAATGAATCCCTGCAAGGGGTTTATTATCGGAGAGCTTGGAGAGGGTTCACTGTAATATCGTTGATGGGTCTTGGATTTACTCTGGTCTTCCTCCTCCTCATCCTGATCTTCCCCGTCATCCTCTCCCAAGTGTTCCCTGAAGAGTTTCCCGAGCGGCCGGGGAAATACATGGTCCGATAGCTTGGGCCGTCATCGGGCCAAGCGCTTGGCCACAGGGGGCGGCGGTGCTTCGCCGTGGGCGTCTTCGATCCGCCGCAACCTGGTGGCTTGCCACAGGAGTGCACGGCGTGCTCCTCCTCCTCCTCCTCCTCCTCCTCCTCCTCCTCGATGCTGAATGGTTGTTGGTCCATCTTGCAAGTTCCCCATGGGCCGTCGGCCGATCGCGCCCGTCACGTGAGAGGGCGCACAAACTTCCTGGCCCATCGGTCTTCCCACCAAGTCAGGACGCATACACTTCCCATCGGGAGCGGCCAAGAGGGGGGTGTCCAAGAGGGGGGAGTGCAAGTCATGACCGGCGTCATGTGCGCGGCCCAGCGGGGGGGCCAGGGACGTAAGGAAGTAAGAAGAGGCGCCATGAGATCTGGGGAGATCTCATGGCCCCCGCCATGATATCCACCCCCCCTAGTCATCACCCCCCTCTTTCCCGCCCCCGATCCCAGGTCGTCGGTCTTCCCGCTCCGGGCGGCCCCAAGATGGCCTTCAAGGCGCCCCAGGAGGACCCGCAACCTTCCCAGGTCGTCGGTCTTCCGCCCCAAGACGGCCAAGATGGCTGAAGTTGGCCTCCAAGATGCCTCCAAGACGTGCAAGATGGCCCATTGACGCCCAAGCTTGCCGCAAGATGCCTTCAAGAAGGTCCAAGATGCACCCACGATGGCCCCATAATGACCCAAGACGGCTCCCAAGAGGCCTCCGAGAGAACCTCCAGGAAAGCCCGAAGAGATCTCTCCTCCCCTTCGGCTTCCTCCCCCACGTGTTCCCCGAAACGTTTTTCTATACGGCTGGGGGAACACATGACCCGATAGATTGGCCGAACTCTTGACACAAGGCTAGACCACATAGGCGTTTCCAAAATACAGGGGGCGACATTGATGCATCGCATGCGTCTTCGACCACATCATACTGCGGATGGCATGTTCTAAGACGTTGGTGCAAACTACTATGTTCACGTTGATTGATGTATGGTTCCGGCGGATGTTGAATATGTGCGGAAACAAAAACTGAGGTTTCGGTGGGCGGCCTGGTCACCGAGTCATGAAGCTCCTACTTGCCAGCTTGCACGATCAAGGCCGATATTGAGATAGTGTGCACTGCGACGAGGGTGTAACGTGTGTTCGTGTGCGCGCTGAGAGAGAGAGAGAGAGAGAGAGAGAAAAAAAAAAGAAGAAAGGAAGAGAGAGAGAGAGAGAGAGACAGAAAACGAAGAAACAACACATAGCCGAGTGAGCGTGGGGAGAGCGCATGGTGTATAGCACATGCCAAATAAACTCAATAACGTAGGCAGCGTAGTCCACGTAGAGAATCGATACATATAGATATAAACACATATATACATATACACAAGACTGCATTGGCGCTTCGCGCCATGCACCTTGGTCCTTGAAGTTTGGTGTGCAGGCGGAATAGCAGGAAGGTCAAACCGACAACTCAGCTATAACTCCTTGTTGCCTTTTCCGGCATCGCCGCTATAATAATGTTATTCGTTATCCTTCCTCCATGCTTATTTTTTTCATGTTGGCCATGCCCTGCGCATTCTCCCCATCCTCCGCAGCTCTTTTTTGCGGAGGCTCCTCCTTGGAGAGCCTCTGGGGCCTCACAAAAGTTGCTTCAAGCTTTCTTAAAGCCTTATGGAGGCCTCCTGGGCATATTCTGGGGGCCTCTGGGGGCTTGCTCGGGCCACCCTGCCTCCAACCACGGTTTCCCTGAACGACCGGGTCACGATTTGGAATGCTTCGGAAGGTGTCTTGGGGCCATCTTGGGCCGCCATGGGGCTCTCTGAGGGCCATCTTGGACCCGTGTTGTGCCGTTTTGGGGCTCTCTTGGACTGCCCGGAAGCCCTTTCGGATGGTTGTGGGGCGATCTTGGAGCCTCCCAGGCGGCTTCGGACGCCCAGAAGACCACCGTCTTGGAGCGTCGGGAAGCCGAAAAGAGGAGAACACCCAAATTCACCAAAAACCAACAGAAAATCAATGATTTGTGCCTCTTGGGGTCTTCTTGGGAGTGCTCTTGGAGGCCTCTTTGGGACTGTCCTGGAGGCCTCTTGGGCCATCTGGAGGTCACATCGGTCACTCTTGGAGCGCTCTTGTGCTGTCTTGGGGGTCTGTGGGACGTCTCCGATGACCCCCCTGATCGCCTTAGGTGTGCTGGGAAGGCTTGGCAAAAAGCCCTGCGAGGCCCGGGGGGCCGCTTCGAGGCCCGTCCAGAGGGTCCCAAAGCCCCAGATCCCGGGAGTCCGGTTTTTGGGGGGGGACCCCTTTCGCGTTCCGCCAGGATTATAAACAAAAAATACACAAAAAGGGAATAGCATACGGCCGAGGATTGTGGGTACAGGAGCACAGGGCAGAGGATAGGGAGCATAGAACTCATGGCAAGTAATCGAGCGAAGTCGAGCGCAAAGCAGAGACGGGGGGAGTAGACGAAAAGTGGATAGTCTGAGTGAAGGGTAAGAAGAGTGGAAAGTGGGGGGGGCGCAGAGGACGCAGACTAGGAGAGTAGAGGATCCGCTTCGCAATCAGATGGTGTCAGTGCCCACAGCTCAAGAAGTTTCATTATCAAAAATCGCACGCGGTGCCCTAGCGACCCACTAGATTTAGAGCCACAGCCCACGGAGTCCCACTGCATAGCGCGCCACCCCACGAGGGCCAGCCCCACGTGGTTCTCTTAACAACCCGGGGCCCGAGAAGGCAACATGTGTTGGACGGCTGGCTCTTGCAACCGGCGGCGCAACTGCCCTTGCTTCTCATCCGCCGCCATCCGCCAGCTTCCGCCAGCATCCGCCGAGGGAGAGATTACAGCTTCTCCAATCCCCAGCCCACACGGCCTCCCCAGTAAGGTCCCGCCCGCAGGATGAGGACTGAGGAAGAGGAAGTGGCTAGCAGGAGCCAGGAGGAAGAGGACGAGGACGACGACGTTCATCAAAGACAATGAGGCGGACGATGAGGAAGGGGACGAGGACGGGCGCGCTCGCCCACGGCTTGTGCGAGGCCACGCCGGGTCTATGCTTGCCGTCTGGGCCGCGGGACGGTCAGGCCTACAGAAGCGAGCTGTCTTGTGAAATGTTCATGCTGGCTGCCTGGGCTTCGTGGCCAAGGCGGGAATACATGAGGAAATCCTCGCGCAAATGCTGGGCGAACCAGGCGTCCCCAGCATGTGTTGCGGGCTATTACATTCGCGAACCTGCCGTGCGCCAAGCGGACCAATCGGCGGAGAACAGCCGTTAGCTATCACACATCATAACCAAAATTCATGCATCACGATTGCAGAGGTGTGGGCGGCTTCACTTCAAAGGCTGTCGCGTGCACCTCGTGCTTGCCGTCGCTCGGACGTCCATTCCCCGGGCAGTGCTTAGCTTCGTGCGTGCTTTTTTCCTCTTGATGATCCACGATGCACCAAGATGGTCGAGAGGATCTGGCGCTGGCCTCGACAAGTAAATATTCACAAGTCTGAGCGATGCCACGCATACCCTGCCCACTGCTGCTGGCTCCCCCTCATCCCATTCAAGGCCTAAGGCAACATCGTCGTGCTTGGAATGCATTGTTCGTATGCTCGAAATGCCGTGCCCAGCCTTGATGCGCATGACATGGCCCAGTATGAGTCACCCCGATATGGATCACTTTTGGGTACAGCTCTGTATGCATACTAGCTGGGGTGTCTAAATATACGTAGGGTGCGCGCGGACAGATGCACTACATCTCCATCGGAAAGATCGCCGATAACGTTTTTCTAGATCACGCGCAGAGCAAGTATGCTGCCACAAAGAGCTGAACTGCAAGACGCAAGGGCGACACTTTACATCCTATCAGAGTTATTGACTGCTGCCCAAACGCAGAGATAAAGGCACCCGAGGGGACGTATGCGACCGGCACGAAGGCGTTCGTACGGACACGCACGATTGACATGTGTTCAGCCTGGGCTGAAACCACTCGTTGCCGATCATTTGGGGGTCGCAGGCTTGCCACAATCAGCACGTTCTGCGGCCTACCCCTGTTCAGTTCTAGAGGTGGGCTCAAACAACCACATGGCAACTAAGACGTTACCCTGTCTGAACACACGGGCTCAGACTATGACTTGCACTGCGTCCAGAAGTATTAATTCGTGACATTCAGCTGATCTGGTGGAAGGCCGACCTCCAAACGATCCCCCTGCACATGCATGTATCAAGTATCAGCGCCTCGTGAGACTTCGAACTTTGCAATAAAACCGAGACTGGTATCTCCACGTCCCCTCGCACCTTGGTAGATAAGGTGAGCATGCAGAATATCAACGAAACAAGGCGCCGACATTGGAAAAGCAGTAGACACGCATGTAATCAATCCAAATGTCATAATCCTGCAATCCTCAACGATATAGCAAATGCGCATGCGCAATGATGAGCTGTGACCTAGGCAGAACCTCTTAATTATTCAACACTTAACGGAGACTCCCAAATAAACCAATATCCAAATTGAGTTCGGGAATCCCCGCCGTAATCCCAACGCCAAAGCAAATCTTGGCAACGTCTCTCCGAGAAACCCGAGGCAGCGATGACATAACACGACGATGCAAGTTAAGGGGAAGCCCCCCCACGTACGATACACATATCTGTGTCATCTGCTCGCCAGCCACAGAGGACCACTAAGGCAACACATCCAAGCATCCACACATACATATGCATCTACATATACATATACATATGCATACACAAACATACATCTATATATATATGTATATGCATATATATATATACGTATGATACAAGTCATAAGGCGAGAAAGGGGGAGAAATGCTGCGACAATTAGACATACATAAAGACGCCATGAGCAAGAAACTACCGGAGGACAGACTCCTGTCCCATGTCTTGTGTTTGTTGCGACCACGCCCAGGGCCACCAATCCCACCAGCCCTGTGTTTACATGTGTTACGCCGCTTCCTCTTCCAACCCACGTTCATCCCCTTCGGGAAAAGATGGATCACCGATTCCTCTCCATCCGCCACCGTGCCCCCTCTCACGTTGAGGTGCGGTAGAATGCCAAGTACGGTCTGGTAGGACTTCTGTCTGTCACCTACGCCCCCGTCCATCACTTCCAGTTGCGTGCGCTCCCCCACCCCCCCCCAGACCCACCCCACCCACCACCACCCTCCTAACGCTCCATGGGCCGCGCCGGCGCCTCCCTGGCGCAAGCCGAGGCTCTGCGAGGCCTCCACGTCGGCCGCGGAAGGCCACAAGGCCCGAAAATATTGCCCAACACTGCCTCAAGATGCACCCCAACAACGACCAGAAAGTGCCGAACACGTCACAATATGCCCCAAAGAGGCTCCCAGACACCCCCAGACATTATCATGGAGGCCTAGGGGCCAAGCACATTGTTTGCCCTTACGTTGTTCGAAACGGGTTTTGATTTCCACGCGTTTCGGTCAAAGATCGGTCCACGTGCGATCTTCGAAAGTCCCACATGTGCCCACTGAGAGCCCCAAGAAGGCAACTAGACAGTCCAGGACGGCTCTAAGAGGGCCCCAAGCAGACCCAAGAGGGTCTCTGCAGGGACCTAAGGCGGCCAAAGAGGGCCACTAGACCGCCCAAGACGGACACACGACAGTTCCCAGAGACACTCTCCACTACCCCGAGAGGGCTCCAAGATGGCCCAAAGGGCCCCAAGGCGGTCCATATGAGGCGCATGAAAGATCCTCAAAAAGACGAAGCGCGACGTGCCACACGTGACGGCCTCAGGGGTGCAGCACAGAATGCTCCGCCAGCACGGTTGCGGATGTGTCATAAGCAACTGATCAGATCCTTTCTTCGACCAGCCGTCCCCGACAGCACCCCCGTCAAAACACTATACATCTTGCACGCGGCGACGCAATCTGGATCATGAGCGGCGCCCGCGATGACTTTGAACTTGTTGTTGGCAAGGGTCGCGGGGGCGAGATCACATGGGTCCGCTGCGCGCTCGCCCACTACCCAATCAAACACACATTCAAACGAATCGCGGGTGCACGCACCGTATGCAATACCAGACTGATCACACCGCCGCCCATCTGGATTTCTTTTGACATGGATTGCGGGGGTGTCGACATAGTCTGGCACGACCACTGGCGCACCTGTCGCCGCCTGGCTGACTTTGTCCTGTACAGACCACAGGATAGCCTTGCGCTGACATACCGGCCCCAACGGCGTCGACCTGAGGAGCTTGAGCTACGGTAGTCCTTGCTGTGGGAGCTTGGGCAAATGGCAATCCAAAACCCACGCGGGCTGATTCTGCGCCGCGATCGTGGCGCACCTGGCGCGGCTAGAACATGTGGCACACGTGGCGCATCTGGCGCACCAGACGTGCCTGGCAAGCTTAGGCTCCTGGGTCACCTGCCGCAATGAGTGCGCGTGACGCACCTGGCATGCGTGGCACGCCTCGCGAGCGTCCCACACCTGTCGTCCGTATTGGTTCCGGATGGCTATCCATCCGATGGCCACCTCTGCCTATGCGGTTTGGGCGGGTGCGGGTGGGTGGGCGTGTGTGTGTGTGTGCGTGTGTGTGTGTGTGTGTGTGTGTGTGTGTGTGTGCGTGCGTGCGTGTGTGTGTGTGTGCGTGTGTGTGCGTGCGGGCGTGGGCGTGTGTGTGTGTGTGTGTTTGTGTGTGTGTGTGTGCGTGCGTGCGTGCGTGCGTGCGTGCGTGTGTGCGTGCGTGCTTGCGTGCGTGCGTGCGTGCGTGCGTGCGTGCGCGTGTACGTGCGCGTGTACGTGTGTGTGTGTGTGCGTGTGTGTGTATGTCTGTGTGAGTGTGTGTGTGTGTATGTCTGTGTGTGCGATACAGCTTGTGGCGTTCCTGTCAGGAACTTGACCCGCCCCCCTACCCCCGACCCTGCGCCTGGACGACGGGGAGGGCTAGTCAAAGCGTCCAAGATGGCCCAATACGGCTACAAGATTGCCCGGGTTGGCCCAATATGGCCTCCAAGATAGCACAAGATAGACCAAGATAATCCACGGCTGCCCCAAGGCAGCTCCACGTGGCCACGCTGTCTCCCAAGGATGTCCCAAAGAAGCCAAATATGTCAAACGCCTGTGGGTTTTTGACGTCGGTGTGGGGCTTGGGATCGACTCTAACAGGGGATCATGCGAGCCAGGACGAGAGCTGCAGTGAAGACCACATCCTCTTGGGAAATTGAACGGCACAGCCGCGTCAAATGCGGCTGGGGGGGCGGCGGTACAATCGGAGCGCAGCCAATGGCATGTAAGCAACAATGGTAGGAATCGACCTTGCGCTTCATCCAATCGACGTTGCACCACACTCCGTGCGTGACCACGCACTCATCCGTGTCGGGTGACAATGTTCGAAATGTGATATCAGGGGGCCCGGATTTTCGTGCATAATCTTCCTGCTCCTCTTTATCCCTCTTGATCCTTCTCCTCGCATCTGTAGAGGGGACGCGGCAGCTAGAAACCCTTGGAATGACCTCAACCCATGGTATGAATTCAACACAGAAAATCCGCCAAATGTTTTGCCCAGGGTCTGAGTTTCTTAGCTGAGTCTCCAAGCGGAGAAGCTAAAGGCATCCTGGCCCGATGCGTCTCGTGCCGGGTCCTAGCGCTGGATTGCAAGGTCCTTCGTTCCCAGAGTTCGTTCCATGGTGCCCTGGCGGGCCGCGAGGTTCTTTCGCGACCCCAGCAGCGTGCGACATGCTGACTGGGGTTGCGCCGCAACGGGATCCCAAGGGCCATGTATGGCCCAACCCTTTCAAGGCAAATCGACTGGGTATATATTCTTAATGGCCTCGGGGATATACCAATCGTCGCAAGCATTTGGCGAAGGGTTGCAAGCCTCGATCCTGCACCCCGGTCAAGCAAATCAACATTCAATCGGGGGCAGTGGGCGCCTGTCAAGTTTCGCAAATGCCCCATTCGTGCGGGCTGTCTTGGATAGTGCCCAGCAGCCCGAGAACGACTGATGAGCGGGACAAAGAAGGACATGTACTGCGCGACAGAGAGTCAGAGAGATCACGAGATATACATATATATATATATATATATGTATATACACTATGGAGAGACAGAGAGAGAGAGAGAGGTGCAGAGGGAAAGTCTGTGCTGATCTGAATCACTACCCCTGGAATGCAAGCGCTCACATGTACTCAATCCACGGGCCAGGCCAGGTCAACCAATCAGCGTTTCCATCTGCACTGGACATCACAGCACCTCAAGCATGCCGCAACGGCACAGCTTACAACGACGTCCCCCCTGCCGATCTGAGCCCTGCGCAAGCTTGGGCAACGCGTTCATCTTGCCTGGAAACATGTCCAATAATGGGCGGGTGGGAGAATGGAGAACACACGATGGAAGCAGGGTGGCATTAGCCACACACGGCAGCACCGATCGGGACTCGGCTGCGAAACAAAAGTATGCAGAGAATCCAGTGACGCATTTGCAATGCAGACCAGGGGCCCTGCAAATCACGATAGTTTCTATTGAATTCGTGTACCCTGCAGAAGCACAACCCTCACAGCCTCCAAGCACGATTGCCCGCTCAAGACCTCTGCCCCCAAAAGGCCGTAGCTTGCTGAACATGCATGTTCCCGAGGCTGGACAGAAGTGGCACTAATGACTGTTGAGGGCCTGAGGCCAGACTTGTGCACATACACGGCTGGAGAGCACGTCAGCCATCTCGGGCCACGCCGAGGCACGAAAGGAACCTGCCTGGCACTCACAGCGCCCCGGAGCTCAACTGGGGGATCCGCCTCCCGTCGCCTCTCCTCCTGCTCACTCCTCCTCCTCCTCCTTCTCCTCCTCCTCCTCCTCCTCCTTCTCCTCCTCCTCCTCCTCCTCCTGCTCACTCCTCCTCCTCCTCCTCCTCCTCCTCCTCCTCCTCCTCCTCCTACTTGTTCTCCTTCTCCTCACCTTCTCCTCCTTATGCTCACTCCTCCGACTCCCTCCCTCCCCAGAGATCTCCACCCTCGTCCTCTGTGTGAGGGGGTGACGACCTCCCATCCCTGGCGAGTCGCTCCCCCCAGTTCCCTGTGGCGGCCTGGTGCCCGCCGCCTCAAGCACGCCAACCACGGAGGAACCGAGCGAAGTCGTAACTAAGCCGGAGAGACGCCCCCCTCCCTTTGATACCCTTGCCCGCCTTGTGGGGGCGGTGACCGGGGTTGTCCCAAGTTTGACCATGTGAGCGGGCGGCCGGAGGGAAGAATCCCTCTGCCCCCCTTTCCCCATGCATAGATCTAGCATGCAGCGAGGCTCGGCTCCGAACATCCAGCATGCCATAAGGAGTTCCCGGGGGCCCCGTCTGGAGCCGTCTTGAGGGTCTCTTGGGCCCTCTTGGAGGCCCCTGCGGGGCAAGCTCAAGAGGCCCAAATCGGCTGAATCCGTTGATTCGTGCTGGCTTAATATATATATATATATATAGGCAGCATCGAGCACAAGAGCTCGCAAGACAGCCCAAGATGATCCCGACATTGGCCAAACATGACACAAGAGTCGGCGACGAGCCCGGGGAGGAAGTGAGAAGGAGAAGGCTTTCTCATAATGCTCAGAAGCCCCCAGGCCTTCCGAGAGGTTTTGTTAAGCCTTCCCCGAAGACACCGAAAACTGTTCAAAACGCGCGCGGGCTTCCGAGAAGGCCCGCCTCCTTCTGAGAAGGCCTTCTCCTTCTCACTTCCCCCCTCGCTCGCCGCCGAAAGAGGCCTCCAAGAGTTCCCCAAGACTTCGGTGGCAACTCGTGGGAGCCTCCCATAGCATCTTGTTGGCTCTTGCGAATCGACGCTAGTCGACGCTTAATCGACGCTAATCAACGCTACATCGACGCTAATCAACGCTTGCCGATGCTAAATCGGCGCTAGCTCGTCGACTCCCAAAGGCTGATCAACGCTTATTGGCGCTGAAGACGGAATTATTATCAGGATACGCCAGGCCTTAGTGGGCCCTAGTCACAATGTTCGGAACCATGTCTCTTAAAAATGTAAAAAAAAAAAAAACGGCGACAGGAAACGGCAACAAAAACGGCTCCGGGATTGGAACCGTAATTGCAATCGGAAAATCAAACGGCGACGGAACCGGCAAAAAAAGGCGACGGAAGCAACAACAAAAACATGAAAAAACGGCCCTGTCGTTTCCAGGGCCGACTAAGCGCCAGGCTCCCATGATTTGACCCCCAACATCATGACTTTTTGATGGCGTCGACCCCCAACGGTCTCGACCCATTCCCTGGGGCCGAGTTTTCATCCTGCATCGTTTTTTGACGGTCCGGAGGCCCAATAAGGGCCCCTGAGACTGCATAAAACCTCCCGTCGTGATTTTTTTAGTGCTCGAGGGGGTCTGGGAAGGCCTTCTCCTTCGCACTTCCCCCCCTCGCTCGCCGCCGAGAGAGGCCTCCGAGAGTCCTCCAAGACGGTCACGCGGGTGGCGCCCCCAAAGGCGCACTCCCGCCGCGCCGCTGGAAGAGCCGCTACTGCCCCCCAGCCAGCATGGCCCCAAGGCCACCAAGACAGACTCCAAAGCGCTCCAGACCACCCCAACCTAACCCGAATTGATTGGCAAATTATCCACCACTCAGTGCCATAGGTTGGACGGGGGAGAAGGGAGGGGAGGATAGGGGGGTCCTCCTACACCTCCTCCTCCTCTTCCTCCTTCTCCTCCTCCTCCTCCTCCTCGTCCTCGTCCTCGTCCTCGTCCTCCTCCTCGTCCTCGTCCTCCTCCTCCTCCTCCTCCTCACTCTTGATCTACCTGTGGTAGTGATGGTGGAAAATGTGATGACAAATCAGCTCATCACGAATACCCGAATGTCGGGTTGGGGGGGATGCGGGTTCCACACGAATTGTTCAAGGTTCCCCGACGCCACCCTCGCTGGGAATGGGGGGCAAATGGGGGCATTCGGGTTAGGTTGAGGTAGTTTCGGGGGGGGGGGGGGGTGAACGATGTGGCCAAGCGGGCCACAAAGGCCAACGAGAGCTCCCAGAAGAACCCCCGAGAGTCCCCCAAAAATGCTATAAAGTGGCCTCAAGGTCTCTGGAGCGCGACTCAACCGCAGCGACAGGATTGGCCGCGCGCCACTGGGTTTTCGCCTCGCATGAGAGCCGCCCCCGTCCCTTACCTCCGTCTCCCTTCCGCCTCTTGCGCCCAAGCTGTTCTCTCCTCAGGGTCGGCGGAACCGACTACAGGGCCTTTGCAATAGTACGCAGATGAGGGCAGGAAGGGAGGGCAAGCGAACCAACTCTATAGACTAGAGGGAACACGTGCGGACGAGGAGGACGGGGGGGGACGAACGCTTAGAATGCTTGCCTGGACGGGCCCTCCACCTCCAGAATGTCCTGCCAGATTTGAATTCTACATATTGTCTGCCCCAACTCCATTTGCATTATATGAAAACTGAAGTGAGACAGGAGGTGGGCAGGACGATAATATGAGATAGAGCCGAACCCCCACAAAACTACCTGGCGTTCAATCAAAACACGAACCCGCATCAATCCAAATGGTCTCGCTTTGCGTGAACAACCGCGCACAATGTGTCAAGCCTCGGGCGGGCCGAGTCGGAAAAATATTGGCGGCGCCATGTGTGGCGCCTCAGCGGCACCACAAGCGCACGCACGTGATCAAGAAGGTGCGGCAGCAGGGCGTTGTCGTCGTCGTCGCTGCTGTATTCACAATCCTGGGCCAAAGCTTGCCGGATTTCTTGGACGCTGTGGCGTGCCCCGAGGTGTGCATTACTTTTCTGGAGGCAAGAAGGCCCCCAGACGGGCCAAACTGTGGGGATGTCTCCAGCGTTTCGCTCCTTCGGCGTCCCCGATTCCTGCGTTTTGATAGCCCGTGATCACCGCGGTGTAGCGGGCGTAGCAGCTGGGCAATCCAAGGAGGATGGCGCCCGGGAGTAAGACACTTGCCCATTCGCGGCCAGGTTGCGGGAATGCCTTGAGCGCAGCGCTCGGTTTTCAATTCGTTCGGATGTCACGAAGGGGTGCACTCGATTGGAGTCGCCGGCTCCTCCGTTTTGAGAGCCCCGTGATTACAGCGATATCTGAGGCGTGGCATTTAGGCAACAAGGGGGCGTTAAACCGGTACGTTCGCGGCCAGATCGTGGGCACATCTCAATAGGAAAGCGGGTTGTGGCACCCACGACTCCCATCTCAGTGTCCGAAGACTATCCCGTTGTAGCACGCATCGCGTTCAGGCACTCCGAGGGGGAGTAGCCAGGAAGTGTTCAGTCGCCACAGACTCAGATTCGGTCGGGCATGTCCTCCTGCAGGCGGATTTGGGGAGAAAAACGAAACACTGCGCAGGAATATTCAAAACTAGTCCAAAGCAGTCCCCACACTTTTCTTTCGACCATTTTTGACTATTCCTCCTGTAGAGAGACATGCCCGACTCAGGGCTAAGACTCTCTCGCTCCGACACGCTCATAGCGAGAACTGCCAGGGAACGGGGCGGGCCCGCGGCGGGGCATCCCATTCTCGCCTTGAGAGGCTGCGGTCGGAATCAGGGCTGCCGGCGGCGCCCTGGCCCACGGGCTGGGACTCCTCCGATCACAGGCACACAGGCTCAGGGGCGCCTAACTCCGCGCTTCGCGCTGCGCGAGGCGCGAATGGCTTTGCGCTCTCGCGCCGCCCCCCTGGGGGAGAAGAGGAGGATGAGGAGGAGTCAGAGCCGAACCGCGAAGCGCGAATGGCTTCGCGCACGCGATGGGCGCCCTTGCACTGCTGCCAAACCCTCAATTGTGAGCCTCACCTTCGCGCGCGATCACCACAAAATGCCTGCGAGCACCACAGCTCGACTGGGACTGCCAAACGGCGTGGGAAGCTGGACCCTTCCGAGAACGCACAACGGCCCGCGAGCGTCACGCGTACTCGCACCAACATTCCCGACACTGGCAGCACCGTAAATGGTTGTGAGCGCCAAAATCTGTCTCCGATCACAAACAACTTTGTGAGGTTGTAGGTGGTCGACTAAGGACATGCGAGGAGCAGGGGTTGTTTGTTTCTTCTTCGACGAACAGCGTCCAAATAACACCATCAAGAATCCAAGACACAAAAACTTGTGAAGTCTCTCCAGGGCTATAGCGCTATGGGGCTATAGGGCGATGGGTCTTTTATAGGGCTATGGAACTGTTGGGCTACAGTGCCATGGAACTATAGGTCTATAGGGCTACAGGGCAAACGGGCCACAGGGCTATAGGGCTGTAGGGCTAGAAGGCTATGGGGCGTTGGGGCTCTGGGGCTCTAGGGCTATCGGGCTAAGGGCCATAGGGCTACGAGTCGATATGGCTATGGGGCCAGAAGGCTATAGGACCATAGGGCTATAGGGCTATAGAGATATAGGGCTATGGGGCTATATGGCTATAGGCATATCGACCTATATGGCTATAGGGCTATAGGAAGCTATACGACTATAGGGCTATGGGGCTATAGGGATCTGGGGCTATAGGGATATAGGGTTAATTAGGCTATTAGGCTCTTGGGCTATAGGGCAATAGGGCTATAGGGCTATGGGGATATAGGGCTATAGGGCTATAGGGCTATAATGCTATATGGCTATAGGGCTATAGGGCTGTAGGGCAACAGAGCTCTAGGGCTCTAGGGCTATGGGGCTTTAAGGCTATAAGGCTATAGGGCTATTGGCCTATAGGGCTGTAGGGCTATTTGGCTATGGGGCTATAAAACTTTAGGGCTATGAGGCTATAAGGCACCCGGGCTCATGGGCACCCGGGCTCCTGGGCACCCGGGCGGGCCGCGGAAATCGGTGACACACCTCACCTGACCATATGAATCCGCTGTGACCCCTACAGAGGCAAGGTCTGATTGGGGAAATGCCTGTGGGAGGCTTTCAAGCAATACTGATGATTCGGGGGGGCGGGGAAAAGGGTTTGCCGAGTCCCAAGACGGTGCGGCGACAAACCGTGCGGTGACCTCGAGATCACCGAAGACCTCACCGCACGCGGTCCGTCACCGCACTGTTCTGGGACCTTCGAAGCCCCTATCGCCCGAGACAGCCTCGAAGCACGGCCCGAGCTCCGGAACCGTGCGGCACCCCGAATCATCCCCACTGGCTCACCACACGGTGTGGTCACGGTGCTGCTTGGGGGGCCCAGGAAGGGATTCGAGATTTTTGACGCGAGTTGGGCCCTACAAGCCTCTTTCAGCGTGGGGTGGGTGAGAATCGGCGATGCCGAGGCGCGACCCTTGTTGGCAAAGGACCTATCCTCCAGCCTTCTAGCCAAAAGCAGCGAACAGAGGCAGAAGGAGACGAATCAGAGAAAAATCCGGTGATGACCCCGTTTTGAACAGGATTTCCCTCCAAATGTGGGAGCACTGCACGGTGTTCGGTGTGCCGGTCACGAGACTAGTTGAAGTGTCAAGCGAACGCCCCTTTCCTCATAACGTTTCGCTGATGCGTCCCAGAAAGGCAGCCGCAACATCCCGAATATCAGTAAGGACGGTCGGCATTCCAGACAGTACAGTCGGGGCCCTGAAAGGGGAACCCTTTTTGTTGGGGAGGGGCTCCGTGTTCCTTAGTTGCTTTACAGTGCTCCTAGGGTCTTCCTGAGGTTTTCCATGGAACATCGGAGTTGAATGTATAGGAAAAGGGGCCTCATTTCTTATTTATCGTTCCTTAGGTCAACTCCCCGACTGTAGGTTTAAACTCTTTGACAGCGGCGGCCCTCAAGACGGGGCGACGGCGGAGGGCACTCGTGTTCTGGCCTCTTTCTGGGGCCCCAGGGCATTCTTGCCGAGCACGGCTTGCTCCCGCAAGCGTCTGGCGTTTCGCGGATGGTCTTCAAACGCCTGATGACTTTCGTTATTGAAGGGGCCCTGAGACACACAAATGAATACATACAAATAAAAGGATTCCCCATATTTTCCCATATTTTCTGGGTTTTTGCCTTCCCCCCACTTCCCATATCTTCCAATATTTTTGGGGGAATCGACGATTAATTGTGTCTGTGTGTTTCTTTCCCTCCTGAGTTATCTTCATGGCGACGCTGGGTATCTTCGTGGTGACATACGGCGTCGCAGTCCGTCACCACGGACCGTCGTCATCTTTGCGAAGACTCACGGCTCTGGCCAACACCGATGACCTACTGCGCTCTGAAGCGGGGCCCACCAACAATATTACGAGAACGCTGGCTTCGCGCAGCCACAATAATACCACGTGTGCCTCTACCACACCGTTAAGGAGTTGTATGTCACGCTTCCCTCTTCCCCAAACCCCGACCCTGGCATCCAGGAAACAGTGGAGACTTATCTCTGTCCTCGACGACGGCGTTGTTCGGAGCAGCGAGAGCAGGAAGCACCAATATGTTGTGCCCCTCTGGGGCCCAGATCTGGCCGAAACCGGCGCGTGCCCCCAAAACGCAGACCGCTACACTCCAATGTTATGGAGATCACGCCCCATATGTTCGCTATCGCCCACATGACCGCTACCAGCCAGGCGCACCCGTATCCCCACTGACGCACGACCCAAAGCATGGTAGGACTGCCATGCCAATCAATGATGTCACGATGTATAAGGGATGGCTCATGCTCGTGTTTGTTCTCTTCGTTTATGTCGACATGGCGGACAATGCTTCTTTCTGCGTTTTGGCCCAAAGGTCGCGTGAGGCCTTTGGATATTGTGTTCCCACGTCGCGCGACTAACTTCTGGAGAAAAGCGAAGCCAATACATAACACCACACATCCCGCTGCACCACCAGCATGGCCGACGTCATCGAACCGCTGCGCCACACACGACAGCAGCTGAGGCAATCTTTCCTGCTACCTGAATTCTGAAAGAAAAGACAAGACGGCAGCTGGAGCGCCTCGCCACTTCCCCTCCTGGGCCACCATGAACTCTGGATTGGATAGCACTCCGCTGCCCTTGAAAATCTGCGCCCCCCGCCAATCCAGAATGCGCACAGGTGCCCTGCTCAGGCTTGGCGATATCCACACCTGTCGGGGGATGGCTCGCGTTGGTTTCGAACGAGAGAGGGGCACAGTATTGCAGAAGCAATGTCGAACTGCTCGTAAAAAAAACGCTCTGCGACAGTCCCCTGTTCCGCAATCAGCAACCTCTCTGACGCCTGTCAGCGTCCACCCTCTCCTCCACCCCGTACACCCCGTACGCCCGAGCGTCATCATGAGAGGAAGGTCGGGTGACTTCTGCCGTCCAGCCGGCTGAAGAAAACACCAGCAACAACGAGAGGCCTCCTGGATGGGGTCGGAGTAGATGGGTCGGAAGATCGCGCCGCATCGCCAATGCATCGCCGATGCATCGGCCATGCATCGGCGATGCGTCGGCGACGTCGGCGATGCATCGGCGACGTCGGCGGGGGGAAACGCGGGCTCCGCAACGAGCCCCATCGCCGATGTATCGGCGATGCGGTGCGATCCCCCGATCCCATCTGCTCCGACCCCACCTGGGGAGGCCTAGAGCAACAACACCACCCGCAAGCGTCACTGAAACAGCGGCCTTTCTCCTGCGCGCGCTCGCCTGCCCCTCAAAAAGCGTCCACTCTCCCACGCCATCGACACCTGCCTACCTTGGGTCAGGCATGTGCTCTTGCCGGCGGATTTCGAAAGACAAGTAGGACATGGTCAAACAGTTCCCAAACAAAGCCAAACACAGTCGAAACATCGCCCCCCTGCGATGTTTTTGTCTATTTCTGCATGCTCCTCCTGTCGGAGCACATGCCCGACTTGAGCCTGCCCTCGTCGCCTCCGGCCGTGCCCCAACATGGGGCGAGCGGGCCCCAGACGTCGGGCGGCCGGACCGGGATTCGGCGGTGGACAGACCTCCCTTGTAGTAGACCTCCAGCACATGGACGATATATATTCGAACCCTGTGGCCCAAGATGCCCCCCAGACCTCCGAAATTAATATTGATGGCGTGGCGACGGGGGGGGCGTGAGTGGACAGAAATATTCGAACCCCAAGTGACAGAAATGTCCATGTACGGTTCCCTGAGTGAAAACGGCCTGGGACCGAAACCGACGGACCTGGACCCGCAAAAATGACGGCCGCGACGCCCTCTCGCGAACTTGGCCCAAGGTGGGACGCACAGGGACATCCTAATACTCGATGTCCTTACCGTCCCTGGAGGCGCGCGTCTGATCCGAACATACAGTATACCCATCTTGTAGTATATCGTTCCCCGAGCGGTGGGGCCAGAAAGCGCCCGCCACGACGCATATACTACAAGATTTCTCGGTGCGCGCGTCGCCCCTGGGGGGGCAACGCACAGAAAGTATAAGTATGTTGGGGTGACGCCGACAAGGTGCCCCCAGCTTTTCGCTCAATTTTGGCGCCCCGGGGCCCCCCTGAGCCTCGTGAGGGGTGCTCTGGCGGTCGTGGGGGCCTCCCTTGGAAATCCTGGGGGCACCCTGGGACAGGGGCACCTCCAGCAGCACCCGACCTCCCGACTCAGGCGGGCGGGCCTGGCCGAGCGGGACCCCGCTCGGGTGCTCGGCGTGGCCAGGCCTTCCCTCGGCAGGTCGGGCCCGGAAGCCCCGCTTGGGCGGGCGGACCCTCCGGGCGGGCGGCCGGGCCGAGACGGGCGCCTCCTGGCTCGGGCGGGCGGGGCCTGGCCGAGCGGAACCCCACTCGGGGTGCTCGGAGTGGATCGGGCGGGCGGGAATCAAGGGGGG